CTGTTTACATGTTCATATCTGGTCACAGATATGAACATGTCTGCCTTCGACACAGTTCCTCACACGAGGTTAATGCAAAAGCTAGAGGATCAGGCACACATAACAGGAAAGGCACTGCAATGGGTCAGAGAACATCTGACAGGGAGGCAACAACGAATCATGGTAAGCGACGATGTGTCAGAGTAGGCGCCTGTGAGGAGCGGGGTTCCACAGGGGTCAGTCCTAGAACCGGTGCTGTTTTTGGTTTATGTAAATGACATAACGGAAGGGATACTCAGAAATGTCCTTGTTTGCAGATGATATGAAGTTAATGAGGAGGATAAAATCGGTCGAGGATCAGGCAGGACTACAAAGAGGCCTGGACAGGCTACAAGCCATGTCCAGCAACTGGCTCCTTGAATTTAACCCTGCCAAATGCGAAGTCATGAAGATCAGGGAAGGGCAAAGAAGACCGCAGACTGAGTATAGTCCAGGTGGCCAAAGACTGCAAACCTCACTCAAGGAAAAAGATCTTGGGGTGAGTGTAATACGGAGCACATCTCCTGAGGTGCACATCAATCAGATAAGTGCTGCAGCATACGGGCGTCTGGCAGACCTAAGGATAGCGTGCTGTATAGTCCTTGTGGCTTAGCGCTTCTTTTAGGATAGCGTTCAGTAATACCTCAGTAAGGAATCGTTCAAGACTCTGTATACCATATACATCAGGCCCATACTGGAGTATGCAGCACCAGTTTGGAATCCACACCTGGTCAAGCACGTCAAGAAATTAGAGAAAGTGCAAAGGTTTGCAACAAGTCTAGTCCCAGAGCTAAGGGAATTATCCTACGAAGAAAGGTTAAAGGATATTGGCCTGACGACACTGGAGGACAGGAGGGTCAGGGGAGACATGATAACGACATATAAAATACTGGGCGGAATAGACAAGGTGGACAAGGACAGGATGTTCCAGAGATGGGACACAGAAACAAGGGGACACATTGTAAGTTGATATCTCAGATGAGTCAAAGGGATGTTAGGAAGAATTTCTTCAGTCACAAATTTGTCAGGCAGTGGAATAGCCTAGAAAGTGACGTACTGGAGGCAGGAACCATACATGGTTTTAAGACGGGGTTAGATAAAGCTCATGGAGCAGGGAGAGAGAGGACCTAGTAGCAATCAGTGAAGAGGCGGGGCCAGGAACTATGACTAAACCCCTGCAACCATAAATACAGAGTACACACACACCACACACACACACACACACACACACAACACACACACACACACACACACACACACACACACACACCACACACACACACACATGCACACACATATATATAGCTGCAAGCCTGGTCTAACAAGTGGCTCCAGAAATTTAACCACACCAAATGCAAAGTCATGAAGATTGGTGACAGGCAAAGAAGACCACAGACAGAGTACAGGCTAGGGGGCCAAAGACTGTAAACCTCACTTAAGGAAAAGGATCTTGGGGTGAGTATAGTACCGAGCACATCTGAGGCGCACATCAACCTAATAAATGCTGCAGCATATGGGCGCCTGGCAAACCTAAGAATAGTGTTCAGTAATACCTTAGTAAGGAATTGTTCAAGACTCTGTACACCGTGTACGTCAGGCCCATACTGGACTATGCAGCACTAGTTTGGAACCCACACCTGGTCAAACAGTCAAGAAATTAGAGAAAGTGCAAAAGTTTGCAACAGGACTAGTCCCTGAGCTAAGGGAAATGTCCTGCAAAGAAAGGTTAAGGAAAATCAACCCGACGAAACTGGAGGACCGGGGGGAATAAGGGGGACATGACAACAACATGCTGCGAGAAACTGACAAGGTGAACAAAGACAAGATATTCCAGAGATGGGACACAGCAACAAGGGGTCACAATTGGAAGTTGAAGACTCGGATGAGTCACAAGGGTGTTAGGAAGCATTTCTTCAGTCACGGAGTTGTCAGGAATAATCATAAAAGTGACGTAGTAGATGCAGGATCCATCCATTCTCAGTCTTAAGTCAATAAAGTTCACTTGACGTTCTTTTCGTATTATTGTTCTCAAACTGTTAACTGACAAGCCAAGATTGTAATCTACTTCCCTTTGAAGGCATATAACTTAGCCAATTCATCAGCTCTATCATGCATCTAAAGGCCAGTGTGAAATGGAATCCACATGTTTACTCTGACTCCACTGTTCACAGTCCTACCATACATTTGTCTGGCTTCTGACACAAGCATGCCACAATTTATATTTAATGAATTGAGAGCATTTATGGATGATAGAGAATCAGTTACATGGACGCATTTGAGTGTAAGGAGATGGCAAACAGTTCTGTGTGAAGGGTAGAGGCCCAGTTACTGATGCGTGCTCCAATTTCTTTAGGAAACCATCACTCTGTAAGGCAACAGCAACACTACCAGCTGCACCTTTGGATTGGTGAACCAGGAAAATGTTCATATCTAAACGTTTTCCTGGTTATTGTTCCGCTACCTCATAATTAGTAAGTTTATTTAGGCACATGTACACATACGTACGATTATCAAAGTGTAAATTACCTAGGATAGCCCCCAAAAAGGCAAAGTGACTTATTTCCACTGGGTCATTTACTTATTTCATTAGGTGAAATGGGGTTGAAAGCCTATCTAGTACACGAGGAGTCATGTCACCTGTACACCACCAGTCAAGAATACATTAATACATGAAATAATCATTAAAATAAACTCTCAGTCTATATAAACTAAGAGACATAAACCTCGTAGTGTATGTCTACAGTGTTTGTCCTTAAACGTCTTTTTATCGGTCTGTATTTATTTTATTTATTTATTTATTTATGTCTTTGCAAATAGTACATTGAGATTTTGTATTTACAATAGTGGGTTGCAATACAAAGAGAGCCTCTATTATGCCTAGGCATTTTGGGCCAACTTAACATTATTGGCTGACAGACTACTTAACGCTAAGGATTATATCATAGTTGTACAGTAGGATAGTAATTATATCATAGTTGTACAGTAGGATATTAATTATATCATAGTTGTACAGTAGATTATTAATTATACGTGAATCTAATTTATATAAGACAAAAGATATATTCATATATTAAAAATGCTTTTTGTGAAAACAATGATTCAATTATATTCCTGTCAAGAATGGATAAAAGGTTCAAAGTAATTGTTGAAATTTTGATGTGGGAATAACGTAAGTGACTATGTGTGTACTGAGTATTTAGCATTTAGTCTAGGGTGATTAAGTGGCTTTTGAGAAGTCTTAAATTGATTTTCAGACTGGGTTACGTTAGTATCTTCTGGTAATGAATTCCAAATTTTGGGGCCCTTTATGTGTATAGAATTTTTACACAGTGTGATTTGGGCACGAGGTATATCAAAAAGAGATCTGTGTATTGTGTTATGGTCATGTGTCCTGCTAAGGTTGGTGAGAAGTTTGAGTGGAGGGTTTATATTTGCGTGTATTGTTCTGTCTAAGTAGTAGGCACATGAATAAGTATGAATGTTCTTAATGGTAAGCAGAATCAAACTGTTGAAAATTGGAGTATGCTGGCGGGAGTGGGAATTTATCATTCTGACTGCTGCCTTTTGCTGGGTTATTAGAGGTCTTAGGTGATTGAATGTTGTTGATCCCCATGCACAAATTCCGTAGGTGAGGTAAGGGTATATGAGTGAATGGTACAGTTTCAGGAGAGCTGATTGTGGAACGTAGTACCTTATCTTTGATAGTATACCTACAGTCTTAGAGATTTTCTTGGTGATTTGTTGTATGTGTGTCTGGAATTTAAGGCTACTGTAAAGGTGGATACATAGGAATATTCCCTCTGTAAGTCTTGTGACTGATGATCCGTTTAGCGTTATGTTAACTGGATGATTTGCAGCTTCGTTTCCAAACTGAATGAAATATGTTTTATCTGTATTCAGGGTAAGTTTATTAGTCATCATCCAGGCAGATATTTTCTGCAATTCGGCACTGACAGTGTTTGCTAGTATGACTGGGTATGGGTGGGAGAAGACGTATGTTGTGTCATCTGCAAATAATATGGGTTTGAGTAGCTGTGATGCATTCGGTAGATCATTGATGTAGATGAGAAAGAGGAGTGGTCCAAGGACACTTCCTTGTGGGACTCTTACTGTAACCAAACATAACGTAACCTAGCATAACCTAACCTAATGTAACCTAGTATAACCTAACCTAATGTAACCTAGTATAACCTAACCTAATGTAACCCAGCATAACCTAACCTAACGTAACCTAGCATAACTTAACCTAATGTAACCTAGTATAACTTAACCTAGCATAACCTAACCTAACGTAACCCAGCATAACCTAACGTAACCTAGCATAACCTAACCTAACCTAGCTTAACCTAACCTAATGTAAGCAAAAATAAAGATATTTTAAGTTTTCAATAAGCGTTAATAAGTCAACGTTGAGAACCTTGCAATAAACTAATCGTGGCACAAACAACAACAATTATTAATATTATTATATTATTATTAATATTATTATTATTATTATTATTATATTATTATTATTATTATTAATATTATTATTATTATTATTATTATTATTATTTCTACAAGTACATGTACAAGGTATACAGTCCTAGCTGACATCAATAACATACTACTGTATAGAAAGCTCCTTGTTATGCAGAGCATTTCGGGTAAATTAGGTCAGTTTTGTCCCAGGATGCGACCCACACCAGTCACTAACACCCAGGTACTCATTTTACTGATGGGTTAACATAGACAACCGATGTAAAAAAAAAAAAAAGCCCCATGTTTCTACCCTCGCTGGGAATCGAACCCAGCTTTAGCCACCAGGCCACAGGGGTGTAATGTAGTGAATAGACTTTAAAACTCCATTAAACAACGACTTATTTGGGTTATCCTAGGTTCTCTACACACATGTTGGTATGTATGATATGCTATATAACTATTTGTGTACACCTGAATAAACTAACTAACCGACTCCGGTGTTTTAACGGTAGGGTTTATACGGCTCCTTGACCATTTTTTCAACCTTAAAACCAACAATAACAATAATAACAACACTGCTGACATTACGTTTCTATATAGGTTTGTAACCTTTTTCTCTGAAGCTTAATATTGTATGACCATGTGGATTTAGCACCTGCTTTTTGAATAAAATAATAATAATAAAATAAAGTAAAATAATAATGTTTCAAGTGTTACGTACTTTCAAAGTGAGTAATAGGACTATTAACCCGGTGGGAGGTTAGTAACTTTTATTGAAGAAAATATTATTAACATAAGAATGAAAGAACCCCACAGTAGGCCTACTGGCCCATGCTAGGCAGGTCCCACTCGCACCTAACCAAACCCATTCATGTACCTTGGTCAACCTATATTCGAAAATTACTCAAAGTTCTCGCCCCCTATTATTATAATCAAAACTAAGTGCTAAACCCACAAGGGTCATACAGCATTACTCTCGTCCCCCATTGGCTCTGTTTGGCAGTTTGTACCCCATAGGGTTAGTAACCCAGAATAACCCAGTAAAGCTAGTCATTGTGGCTTATTTTTATTGATGCCTTTAAGTCCTCCCACAGGATGCAACCCACCAGTCACCTGAAGGTTACCTGAGTCCACTAACTCAGATCTCTGTTGCTAGGTAACAGAGTAAGCAGGTGCTAGGAGACTTGCCTGTACATCCCACCTCATATTATTATTATAATCAAGAGTGGCACGCTAAACCCGTAAGATTACACAGTGCCTGTGGGGGGGGATGTGGAAGGTATTCAGGCTTAATTTAGGGAACTGAGCACAGATCCAATTCCCTAGATCAAGAGCCTCTCACCAGTATCAAGGAACCTTCCTTGAGGGGACCCCACCTCATAGTGGGGTTCAACCTCATGACCTCTCGGGTGTGAGCCGAGAGGACATGGGATATTTTTTCCTGGTACACAGGAGAGGCCAGTCTTGGTGGGAATCGGCCAGTGTGATAATAAAAATAATAATAATAATAATAATAATAATAATATTATTATTATTATTATTATATCAACAGTGGTATAAAAATATTGAATTTTCTTATTTCCAGGGATACTGCTATGGTAGGAATGTTCAAGACTTTGATTGACATAATCATACTGATCGTCACAGTAGTTAGTTCAACATGTGAAGCCCCCAGCAAGCACATCGATGAAACATTAAGTTCATTTCGCAAACCTCATGAACTAGAGCCTTCTACTTCAAATGTAAGAAGGGAGAAAGCTTTAATTGAACCACTCAGCAGGAGAAGCGACAGATCATCACACAAGAAACTTTTTGTTCAAGTTCGTGTAGAGAGGCTTGGACTCATAATCTCTACACATTTGCATTCTGGAATGCTACTAAAAAAGTGCAATTTGCTAAGATATGTACATTACATTCCCATACATTTCCCCTATGCAATGAAACTCAGGAGAACATTAACATTGTAACCACAAGTAATAAGGCATTTAACAGAGATAAGATACATAACCATTTGCATTCTTCAAGGTTATCCTCTATGTGTTCTTATTCTTCGGTGTGGTGTCATTCATCACCAGAATCGGGTCTCAGATGCCGCTTTCAGAATCTTTATTATAATCTTGAAAAGAGAGAGTTTGTTTTTGTATATCATTTTAATTCTGTTCTCTATGGCATAAATAGCATCAAAACTTTACAGGATCAATTGTTCATGTCTTCTGTGGTAGGCCATAATGCTTTTCAAATATTAATAACAACTGTACCATTTGCTTCATTTACCACAAAATATAAATGCAAGACTATTCCTGGAAAGAGCCTCATAATGGCTCGTTTCAAGTCAGACAACCTTCTCCATGTCTTTCATGATGATCTTTTACCTACATATTTTACAGTTAAGGAAATTTGTATGAATGATGTGACCTGCTCAGATAACATGACACTTATTTTTACTGATGAAAATGATCGAGGCATGTACTGGGATCTCTATCAGTTAATGTCCAAAAATGTTTTATTGATGTCAGAAAGTAATTCAGTTAGCAAGTATGTTTGGTATTGTTTTGCAAATGCACACATTGGACTGAATAAACTAAGTGTATGGTACCAATATGGCTTTGGAAAACCACAGGGTCCTCAGGTCAGTAACACTTTCTCTGGTTATCATTTAAGACAATTTACTGACTTTATAAAAGGAAAACTAAAGATAGAGTATCATGTAACTGGCATACAGTTGGGTGTTTTAATATCAAGGAAATACAATCGTAAAATACTAAATGAAGAGGACTTATCTGCTGTTATCAAAGACCAGCTTACACTGCAAGGTAATCAGAAAGATTCAGAAGTTACAATTTTGTCTCTCGAAGACAAAGAATTTTTTACAATAATAAGTGAATTAACTCGAGCTCGTGTAGCTGTTGGAGTGCATGGTGCAGCTCTAATTCTTGGCATGTTCCTACCACCTGGTTCTATTTTGGTAGAGATATGGCCCTATGGGATAAATCCTAATGCTGCCACAGTTTATAAAACACTATGTGAACTGCCAAACTTTGGCATCACATATATTCCATGGATGAATGAGGACCTGGAGAATACCGTATATCACCCTGAATACCCAAGTTTCTATGGAGGGTCTGAGTCATTTGTCATTTGATAAACAACAGGATATAATTAAAGGGCTTCATGAAAACAAACTTAATGCTGTGGAATGCTGTGATAATACCACCTGGCTTTTTAGAATGTATCAAGACACACGAGTTCATACCAATGAAAATGATACTAAATACCTAAGTGATCATTTTCAAGTATTTTGAGAGAGGGCTTCAGCAAGTCTAAAGATTATTTAATAAATGAAGCTGTAAACAATAAAATAGATTGTTTATTGCATCCTTCCAAAGTACAAGAAGTACATTGTTACCTAATAAAAGGTAGCTCCTATACAAAGCTGTTCATGGAATGGGAGGATCCTTGGAACATTGAAGATATTAACTGCCAGGATATCTATTTTGAAGTTGTTGTTAAGATAGAGGGTGAGAGTGCAGTTGTTAGAGATACTTTAAGCAATAGACATTATTTTAAAAAGCTGAAATTTGGAGTTGAAAGTACATATACATGGGTAACTTGCTTTTGCAATGGTACTGAAGGATCTGTCTTTTTTAAGATGTGTACTATATAAACTTTTTAAAGCTACTGTTTTTTATAATTTACCACACCAAAGAATATTTTCTTTTAAATACAGAATGTGATGTGATTATAGGCTGCAGATATGTAAAATATTATTTCATCTACAAAATATTTATGACTGAGGTGCAGAAAGCAAAGATGAAAATGATTTATTAATACAATACTGCATTGATAAATTCAGGATGGTTATACCTGTTAAGGGGGTGCCTTGATGCTGGTGAGGGGCTCTTGATTCAGAAAATTGGAGCTACTCTTTACCTCCTTGGATTAAACCTGACTGCCTCTTATTCGTCAAGTGCTGTATGGCTAATGATTTTAGCACGTCCCCAAAAATATAACAGCAATAATGGAAGGTATGGTAGGATTAAACAAAGCCACAAAAAAAGGGATGCCTTTAATGATGCAAAATACTAATTATATATATTTGAACTTCAGAAAATATACTGGAAACAACACAAAATTCAACATTGTACCGATCTTCAGTACACAACTTTAAAAAAAGTTGAAAGCCAAGTGTCTTGAAAATGGTGATGGACTCCTGATGCAAAAAAAACTGAAGCTATTCTCCTTTTCCATAGATCAAACCTTAAAATTTCCCATTCATGCAGGTGCTGTATGACTCATATGGGTTAAGCTTCCCTGTGAATGCAATAATAAAAATTTAATTAGTGCATTCTTATGAATATAATTACATGTTTATGTGTATTTATATGTATGTATTATTTATACATATATTTGTTTTTGTTTGTATATATGTATGTAGGTAGGTAGGTACATATGTACAGACATGATTGTTTTCTATTTCCATGATAGAGCTCTATGGCCATTATTAATTTACTGCTTCTCTCAAAAATGCAGTGCTGTATGTCCCTAGTGATCTAGTGCTTAGTTTTGATAATAATAATAATTCTCTTCTAAACATAATTATGATCAAATAATATTACCTATGAAATAACAAATATCGAAACCCCAGGAGGGAGATTCTTTGATGGAGGTGATGGACTCCTGGTCTATGAAAATGGATATTTTCTCTTCCTTGGAGTGATCCTGATTACCTCCCATTCTCCAGTCATCAATGGTACCTACTGGTTCAGCGTTTGCCTGTGAACATATAATAAGGCAGCGTAAATTTAAACAAAAAAATAAATAAGGGTTGGGTTGACCCGGGATTGGTGTGTTGAAGGAAGACTTCATACAGCTCGACGAGGAGTCGGAAGTAAGTTTTAATTAGGTGGATATAGCGCTTTTTTTTTATAATAATTTATGTGGGTAAATGGTTGAGAGAACCGACAGGATGATGCAACATTTTGGGTATCTTTACTGTGGAAATGTTTCGTCACCCAGTGGCTTCCTCAGTCCAGTACATAATTATACATATATGTACAATTACACAAATTTAGATAATTACAATTATCATACATAGTAACGTGTATAAACTACCTAGGATTACCCAAAAATGTCAGTCGAAGTGGCTTATTTCCACCTGCATTACCTTTATTTGAAAACTCTTCACAAACCACAGACTTTTTTTTTTAGAATAGAAATGATATACAAAGACAGTAGTAGATGAGGTAATCAGTTTCTCTGCCTCGCATATAACTACACACAGATGAACTGTCACTTTGTCTGACTTTTTGAAATAAGTCACTGTGACTTTGAAATAGGTCACTGTGACTTTGAAATATGCCACTGTGACTTTGAAATAGATCACTGTGACTTTGAAATAGATCACTGTGACTTTGAAACAGGTCACTGTGACTGAAAAAAGTCACTGTGATTTTGAAATGTCACTGTAACTGAAATAGGTCACTGTAACTGTGAAATAGGTCACTGTGACTGAAATAAGTCACTTTGACTTTTTGGGGGTTATCCTAGGTAATTTACGTATACATATGTTATTGGGTATGGTAAGTATACTTATGTGTATCTGTACCTAAATAAACTTACTTACCTACTTAGTTATTTTACTTAGATAAGATATTCAATACCAAATCTTGATGTTATAAGGGTTGAGACAGCTGGAGGAGCAGTATCGACCCTTACAACTAACAACAAAACATAGATAAGATGTTCAGTACCATAATCATAATGCTATAAGGGTTGAGACAGCTGGAGGAGCAGTATCAGCTCTTACAACCAACAACAAAACATAGATAAGATAAGCCATACCACGGGCGGGATTGAACCCGCAGTCAGAGAGTCTCAAAACTCCAGCCCGTCGCGTTAGCCACTGGACCAGCTAGCTTCAGGTTAGCATAGGCACCACTGTGACCACAAATGCAAGTTTTTACAGACGAATCTCCAGCTAGCGTGGCAGTGACGAACTCTAGCTCAAGTCCCCTCAATGCCGTCAACATGACTCACGAAATCGTAGTGACACGATTGCAAACAAACCATACCACGGGCAGGATTGAACCCGGGGTCAGAGAGTCTCAAAACTCCAGACCGTGGTATGGTTTGTTTGCAATCGTGTCATTACGATTTCGTGAGTCATAGATAAGATGTTCAGTACCATAATCATAATGTTATAAGGGTTGAGACAGCTCGAGGAGCAGTATCAGCCCTTACAACCAACAACACAACATTCAGCATTATATATTTTTCCACGTTGCGAGCTTTTATTTCATGAATCAAAAATAGAGGAGAAAAATCAGTGGCCCAACACAACAAGAGTGACAATACACTACAACTGTTACACTCATCTGGAGGAGGAGAAATATTGCAGTAAAGTGTAAGTATTCTGAAGAGCACAGGGATACCTATGGAAATGAGTCACACTGTCTTGCCTTTAATAATAATATTAATAATAAATATGCAGCTATGTATGACCCTAGTAGATTTAGCGCTTTGTATTGATTATAATAATAATAATATTTATTTCTACAAGTACAAGGTATACAGTCCTACCTGACATCAGTGACATAATACTATATAGAAAGCCACTTGTTATGCTGAGCATTTCGGGCAAATTAAGTCAGTTTTGTCCCAGGATGCGACCCACACCAGCCAACAAACACCCAGGTACCTATTTTATTGCTAGGTGAATATGGACAGCAGGTGTCTTAAGGAAACACATCCTAATGTTTCCACCAGTACCGGGAATCGACCCCCGGACCTCAGTGTGGGAGCTGAATGTTCTACTGATCGAGTTACAGGACACCTATTGTGTTTTTTCGTATGTCCATAATGCCTATGTGTCCCCAAGATCATTGTAAAAATAATATCTGTATTCTATGGAGGTAAATAAGCCAACATTGTATGACCCTTGTGGGTTTAGCACTTAGTTTTGATAATTATAATAATAATAATAATAATTATTAGTAAATAAGTCACTTTGACTTTCTGGGTTATCCTAGGTAATTTACACATATTACAATGTAAGACAATTATAATCATTCAAAAATTTTGTAAAATTGTAGCTAAATAAGCTTACCATCATAAAGGAATATTTATACTGTATGTACGCAAAGCTTTGATAAATGTTAAGTACCAGCAGTGTTTAAAATTTTGGGGGTAAATATTGAGTTGAGAGCCTTTTATATTTTTTTAATTGAAGAAGTATTATGTAATACACAAATAACCCACATATAGGAGAATGAAACTTATGTTGACATTTCGGTTTGACTTGGAACATTAACTAGACACCCAAAAAGACATCAAGTTTCTTTCTTCTCTGTGTAGGTTATTTGTGTATTGTTCCAGTCACGGAATTGTGCTTTTTTATTCTTAATTATATAAGTTTTCCTTTATTTAGTGTGTTGTGCAATGGATGCAGGTATACTTCTAGCCCATGGGATAGCAACATAGAATAATGTATATAATGTAACTTTATTACACAATTTCTGCATTAGTTATATATAATGTATCTGTAGACAGCTAAAACTTGTGCATTGAACCTAAATAAAACTTTCCTTACATTTTGAGTCAGAAACAGAGACTGATTTTTACTGTTTTTTACAGATAGGTTTTTAATAATTCCATGGGGAAGTAGAACAGAATTCTTCCTCCGTAAGCCATGCGTGTCATAAGAGGCGACTAAAATGCCGGGAGCAAGGGGCTAGTAACCCCTTCTTCCCTATATACATGTATTACTAAATTTAAAAGGAGAAGCTTTCGTTTTTCTTTTTGGGCCACCTCACCTCAGTGGGATACGGCTGGTACGTTGAAAGAAAGAAAGAAGAAGTTTTTAATAATAAGATATTACAAATATCCCAGTGGAAATAAATCATTTTATCTGACCTTTTTGGGGGTTATCCAAGGTAGTTTATACATGTTACTATTTATGATAGTTTTATTCACCTAATTTTGTGTATCTGTGCATACGTCTAACTGTACCTAAATAAACTTACTTGCTTACCCTAATATAACTAAAATATCCACAGCTGCCTAACTAGTTCTAATTTTTCCAGGTGCAATGGGACCCTTACGAGTTTAGCTCTTTCTCATGAAAGTAAGATAATGCAAGCTTGCTATTTTTTCAGTGTGAAAACTAGAGAGACTTCAATGGCAGAGGAATGGAAAGACAAAGTCATCCAAGAGAAGCTGGGTGGGAAGAAAGACTGGACTGACGAAGAACGTGCCGAACTCTGCAAACAGCTTGATGAAGAGCTCGAAAGTCACATCGATGCTATGGGCAAGACTAGGTATAAAGGAGGATGGACTGAGGAAAACTGGAAGGAAGTTAGTATAGTATTATTTTACTATCATTTCATAATGTTCTTATTTCATCATAACACCCTTCAAAATCCCTTCAGGGTGGGTGCCTTGATGGCAGTGAAGAGTTCTTGATCCAGAGAACTGGAGCTACCCTCCCGTTCCACGGTTTAATCCTGTTTGCTTTTCATTCCCCAGGTGGTGTATGATTCCTGTGAATTTATTGTTTCCTCATAAATTAATAATTATAACACTTCCAAAAATGGGAAAAGTGAAGGTGTTACTCATATCCGTTGTGTGCTGTATGACCTATTCAGGTTTATTTTTTTCCTTATATCAATAATAATAATAATCATAATTAATAATAGTAATAATAATTAATACTCACAAAATTTTAATAACATGATTGCAAACAAATCACTTGCCATGGTTTCAAGCCCTACCCATTCCTTGATTTAATAATAATAATAACAAGCAATAACATAAACATTGTAGAACAAAAACTGTAATATTTGGTACTTACATTAATGAAGATTTAGACACTTATGCAACATATGGGAATCTTTGCTAAGGAAATGTTTTGCCACACGGTGGCTTCTTCAGTCCAATACAAAGCAGAGAGGGGTAAGGAGAGGAGGAGTTTGAGGTAATCAGTCCCTCAGCCTGGAATTGATGTGTTCAGTCCATCACTCTTGTAGAAAGTACGGCATATGGCCAGAGAAGTGACCTATATACTGTAGAAGGCGAGTTGAAGCAGGAGGAGGCGCGATCCTCCTCCTGCTTCAACTTCTTACAGAAATATTTGTCTATACTATTTTTATGCTGTATGTATAATGTTCAACGTGCTGTTGGAGTGTAAGCAAGGTAACATTTATGAAGGGATTCAGGGAAACCAGCAGGCCAGACTTGATTCCTGGAGATGGGTAGTACAGTGCCGGCACTCTGAGGGAGGGGTGTTAATGTTGCAGTTTTATAACTGTGGTTTAAGCATGTCTTTGGCAAGACAGTGATGGAGTGAATGATGATGAAAATTTTTCTTTTACGGGCCACCCTGCCTTGGCCGATGTGTTTATAATAATAAAAAAATATTTGAAGATTAGCTTAAAATTTGTCACCAAAGCAGAGCCTCGAGAATTCATTTACCTTTCCTTGTCTAGTAGATCCATCATTGATGTATGGTGATTTTTCTTGTCTCATCCTCACTAGTGGTTACAAAGTTAGATAATCAAATTAACTGTTGCATAAAGAGGAAAGAAAAGATAAGATAATGTATTTATATAATTTTTTTTTTTTTCAACAAGTCGGCCGTCTCCCACCGAGGCAGGGTGACCCAAAAAAGAAAGAAAATCCCCAAAAAGAAAATACTTTCATCATCATTCAACACTTTCACCACACTTGCACATTATCACTGTTTTTGCAGAGGTGCTCAGAATACAACAGTTTAGAAGCATACACATATAAAGATACACAACATATCCCTCCAAACTGCCAATATCCCAAACCCCTCCTTTAAAGTGCAGGCATTGTACTTCCCATTTCCAGGACTCAAGTCCGACTATATGAAAATAACCGGTTTCCCTGAATCCCTTCACTAAATATTACCCTGCTCACACTCCAACAGATCATCATGTCCCAAGTACCATTCGTCTCCATTCACTCCTATCTAACACGCTCATGCACGCTTGCTGGAAGTCCAAGCCCCTTGCCCACAAAACCTCCTTTACCCCCTCTCTCCAACCCTTTCGAGGACGACCCCTACCCCGCCTTTCTTCCCCTATAGATTTATATGCTTTCCATGTCATTCTACTTTGATCCATTCTCTCTAAATGACCAAACCACATCAACAACCCCTCTTCTGCCCTCTGACTAATACTTTTATTAACTCCACACCTCCACACCGAATTTTCTGCATAATATTTACACCACACATTGCCCTTAAACAGGACATCTCCACTGCCTCCAACCGTCTCCTCGCTGCTGCATTTACCACTCAAGCTTCACACCCATATAAGAGTGTTGGTACTACTATACTTTCATACATTCCCTTCTTTGCCTCCATAGATAACGTTTTTTGACTCCACATATACCTCAATGCACCACTCACCTTTTTTCCCTCATCAATTCTATGATTAACCTCATCCTTCATAAATCCATCCGCCGACACGTCAACTCCCAAGTATCTGAAAACATTCACTTCTTCCATACTCCTCCTCCCCAATTTGATATCCATTTTTCTTTATCTAAATCATTTGACACCCTCATCACCTTACTCTTTTCTATGTTCACTTTCAACTTTCTACCTTTACACACATTCCCAAACTCATCCACTAACCTTTGCAATTTTTCTTTAGAACCTCCCATAAGCACAGTATCATCAGCAAAAAGTAACTGTGTCAATTCCCATTTTGAATTTGATTCCCCAAAATTTAATCCCACCCCTCTCCCGAACACCCTAGCATTTACTTCCTTTACAACCCCATCTATAAATATATTAAACAACCATGGTGACATTACACATCCCTGTCTAAGACCTACTTTTACCGGGAAGTGGTCTCCCTCTCTTCTACACACCCTAACCTGAGCCTCACTATCCTCATAAAAACTCTTTACAGCATTTAATAACTTACCACCTATTCCATATACTTGCAACATCTGCCACATTGCTCCTCTATCCACTCTATCATATGCCTTTTCTAAATCCATAAATGCAATAAAAACTTCCCTACCTTTATCTAAATACTGTTCACATATATGCTTCAATGTAAACAAACACTTGATCTACACATCCCCTACCCATTCTGAAGCCTCCTTGCTCATCCGCAATCCTACATTCTGTCTTACCTCTAATTCTTTCAATTATAACCCTACCGTACACTTTTCCTGGTATACTCAGTAAACTTATTCCTCTATAATTTTTACAGTCTCTTTTGTCCCCTTTCCCTTTATATAAAGGGACTATACATGCTCTCTGCCAATCCCTAGGTACCTTCCCCTCTTTCATACATTTATTAAACAAAAGTACCAACCACTCCAACACTATATCCCCCCCTGCTTTTAACATTTCTGTCATGATGCCATCAGTTCCAGCTGCTTTACCCCCTTTCATTTTACGTAAAGCCTCACGTATCTCCCCCACACTTACATTCTGCTCTTCTTCACTCCTAAAAGATGGTATACCTCCCTGACCAGTGCATGAAATTACTGCCTCTGTTTCTTCCTTAACATTTAAAAGTTCCTCAAAATATTCTCGCCATCTACCTAATACCTCCATCTCCCCATCTACTAACTCCCCTACTCTGTTTTTAACTGACAAATCCATACTTTCCCTAGGCTTTCTTAACTTGTTTAACTCACTCCAAAATTTTTTCTTATTTTCATTAAAATTTCTTGACAGTGCCTCTCCCACTCTATCATCTGCTCTCCTTTTGCACTCTCTTTACCTTTCTTTTACTCTCCATATACTCTGCTCTTCTTATAACTATAATTTATATAATTATAGTAACATATTTATTTGACGCTGCTTCCTGAAAAGGGTCCTTGTATATATTTTACGGTCATAGTCTCTTTTTCTCAAATGAAAACATTAAAAATGCTGAATGTGTATATAATAAACACATCATTTTCTCGCCCAAAAAGCACACTATTTTTAAAAGCAATTTTCTAAAATTTGTCAAATTTAACATTCTTAGTCTCAGTTTCTTGACACCCTTAACCCTTTCAGGGTCCGTCCCGTAGATCTACGGCTTTACGTTCAGGGTCCAAACCGTAGATCTACGCCATGAGCTCAGCTCACTCTGATAAACTGTGAGTGGTACATTTGGGCCTAGATATGAGAGAATACATCTATGTGGTATGTGTGCACCACATAAAACAGATCCTGCAGCACACTGTGTATAATGAGAGAAAAAAAATGAAATCATGATTTTTCGATTAAAACAGCAACTTTGCAGTGTTTTTTCGTATGTTTTTTATAGTTGTATTTGCGATTTCTTGGTCTCATTTGATAGAATGGAAGACATATTACAGAAATAGAGATGATTTTGATTGGTTTTAGCACTGGAAATGGCTTGAAACTGAGCTCAAAGTAGCAGAAATGTTAAATTTTTGCCGATATTCAAGAGTAAACAAACGACCTCACACGTCTAATACACGTCAGCTGGTGGGTCTAATATACATTCACAAATATGGTGATGATATTTATACAATTATTACAGTATTGCATAACAGTAAATCTTCTATTTTTTGGTGTGAATAAAAATTCATTATGTGAATAAAAAATCAAAATGGAATTTATTTGTAAAGCCTCAAAACATAACTAATGAACAGAGGAAATGTTAGTTTAGTGCCAGGAATGCCTACATTGTTCATTCTGGACCCTATTTTTGAAATTGGAATATTTTGAACTTTGTGTTAAATTGGCCAAATTAACAATTTCCGATCACTTTATTTTGTAGTTGAAACAGTTGACTTGGCGATTTCTTGTGCTCAATCGATAGAATAGAAGTAATACTAGTGAAATAGCTAAGAATTTGGTTGATTGGAATAATGTAATTGGCCTAAAATGGGAGTCAAAGTCGGCAAAATCGCCGATTCGTAAATATCGCTGACACATCAAAATTCGCGAGAGCATAATTTCGTCCATTTTCCACCAAATTTCGTACTTTTTGTTTTATTACCTTCACAAAAAGATTCTCTACGATTTCATAAGAAAAAATAACAAATTTTTTTTTTGAAAATTCTTGGACACTGGTGCGTGACTCCAGATTTGGGCCTTGGACCCTGAAAGGGTTAAAGGTATCAATTTTCACACCCATATATGTTTTAAGTTCTAGATATGTAAGAAGCTTCCTAGATTTATTCTTTCATTACACCAAAAGTAATCTAGATTAGAAATTATATACAGTATCTTCTTTAAATGCCTTATGGCATCAACAGCAAATGGCAGAGCATCCGCTGTTTGCTCCATACATTCAGGAAGAGGGAGCCACCCAGGCTGAGGCACCTATTAATCCACTAAGTGAGGGCCTGGCACAGCTTAAGTTTGACCCAGACCACAACACTCCAGAAGGTAGGATGGGTTCATTATTTCTCCCATGGCAGTTACTCCTTGATGTATAAATCGGATGCCTAGTATCATACGTCATGAAACGCTAAACATATGGGTTATACACCGCATGCAATGGTGAAGACTTGATCCTTCATCTGCTAATCATAGTGGAGTCTCTGGCTTATTGGGCTATTGGTAATTTCTTTCAATAACAGCCCATATTTTTCTTTAAGCAAATCAGTGGCTGTTAGGGTTTCTTGTTGACCAATTAGGTTAGATGAAAATATGCAGTTAGTCACTGATGAAGCTGGAATCAATTTTTCTGTTTAAAAGTTGTAACTAAGCCTTACTAAGTTTCTCAATGCCTCAGGATTAAATACTTTTCTAACTAGATTGATCCCTCATTAAAGACCTTCAGCAGTGAGTGCCTTGATGATGGTGAAAAGCTTTTATTCCCAGGAACTGGATTATTATATTCAAAGAGAAGTGTTGAACCCATAGGGGTCATATAGGAGACGAGAAGGTGGGAGGCACTTAGGTTTGATGTTAGGAAGAGGAGGGTCGCTCCAGTTCCTTAGATAAAAAAAAATAATGGAGCTGCCCTCCCCTTCCTTGGATCAAACCTAATTCTCTTGCTTATTTTAGGATTTATAAGTACAGTGGTAACCCGAGTTTCAAACTTACTTCATTCCACAATGCTGTTCGAGTGCCATTGCTGAACGAATTTGTTCCCATAAGGAATAATGTAAATTAGATTAGTCCGTTTCAGACCCCCAAAAATACACTTACAAATGCACTTACACAAATACACTTGCATAATTGTTCGAGTTGGGAGCAGTTTGAAACTTGGGGTACCACTGTAGTTCCCACTTTCAGTAGTGTTAGTCACGTGTTTGTAATTTATTGGTTCCAAAGTGTATGTCATAAGTGCGGAACATTGTACTAACTAAGAACATTGTCATTTGGGGCTCTACTGTAATTAACCTCTTGAATAAGAGTAAAAGGCCTTGGGATCTTTCTTTGATAATGTATTCCATTTACATCTCAGAGTCTCATATTCAGCTCTGTTTTTCCAGAGGTTGCTCAAAACTACAAGGAGGAAGGTGTTCTGCAGTTTAAATATAAGAAATATCGACTCGCTGTTGCAAATTTCTCAGAAGGTCTGAAACAGAAGTGTTCAGACCATGATCTTAACGCCCAGCTTCACAATAATCGGGCAGCTGCACACTGCCATTTAGGTAATTCTCTAGATACCATTGAAATTATGTTCTGCAGTAATATACAGTGGAACCTCAGATTTTGTCATTAATTCGCTCTAGAAAGTCTGATGAAAACCGAATGCAACGAAAACTGAAGCAATATTTCCCATAAGAAATAATGTAAATCCAATTAATCCGTTCCTGACACCTAAAAGTATTAACAAAAAATACATTTTATAGAGAATAATTATAGGTTTACACATAGAAAACCCTGCCTTGGTGGGAATCGGCCGATGTGTTAATAAAATAACAAAATAAAATAAAATAAAATAGCAAGCATGCATGAGCGTGTTCGATAGGAGTGAATGGAGACGAATGATACTTGGGACCTGACGATCTGTTGGAGTGTGAGCAGGGTAATATTTAGTGAAGGGATTCAGGGAAACCGGTTATTTTCATATAGTCAGACTTGAGTTCTGGAAATGGGAAGTACAATGCCTGCACTTTAAAGGAGGGGTTTGAAATATTAGCAGTTTGGAGGAATATGTTGTGTATCTTTATATGTGTATGCTTCTAAACTGTTGTGTTCTGAGCACCTCTGCAAAAACAGTGATAATGTGTGAGTGTGGTGAAAGTGTTGAATGATGATGAAAGTATTTTCTTTTTGGGGATTTTCTTTCTTTTTTGGGTCACCCTGCCTCGGTGGGAGACGACCGACTTGTTGAAAAATATATATATATATATATATATATATATATATATATATATATATATATAATATATATATATATATATATATATATATATATATATATATATATATATATATATATATATATATATATATTATTTTTTTTTTTTTTTTTTTTTTTTTTTTTTTTTTTTTTTTTTTTTTTTTCAACAAGTCGGCCGTCTCCCCCCGGGGCGGGTGACCCAAAAAAAGAAAAAAAATCCCCAAAAGAAATATTTTTCATCATCATTCAACACTTTCACCACACTGCACATACACTGTTTTTGCGAGGTGTAGAATACAACGCCCTAGAAGCTCACATATAAAGATACACAAATACCCCTCCAACTGCCAATATCCCAAACCCCCCTTTAAAAGTGAGGCTTGTATTCCCATTTCCGGCTAAGTCCGACATATGAAAAAAAACCGGTTTCCCTGAACCCTTCACAAAATTTTCCCCTGTCACACTCCAACGGGTCCCAAATACCATTTGTCTCTTTCACCCCATCGAACCTTTTCATCTGCCTGTGGAAGCCAAGCCCTTGCCCCAAAAAACCCCCCCTTACCCCTTCCTTCCAACCTTTTTTCGGGGACGACCCTTTCCCCCCTTCCCTTTCCAACAGTTTAAATTCCCCATTCTTTCCCTTTTTTGTCCATTCTCTCTAAATGCCCAAAACCCCCTCAAAAACCCCTCTTCAGCCCTCGACTAATACTTTTTTTAACTCCCAAACCTCCTAATTTCCACACTCTAAATTTTTTCTGCTTAATTTTTTACACCACACATTCCCCTTAGACAAGACATCTCCACTGCCTCCAACCTCCTCCTCCTGCGCATTCCAACCCAACTTCACATATTATAAGGGGGGCCCCCCGGTTCAATTACAACCCGTTTCCGAGAGCTTCGTAAAGAAATTATGGGAAAGCGAATCAATTTCCCCATAAGAAATAAGGGAAATCAAATTAATCCGTGCAAGACACCCAAAAGTAAAAAAAAAAAAAAATTTTTACCAATGAAATAAAAGTTTAAGCAATAGAAAAATTACAGTAACAATAATACAATAAAAATCAAATAGAAAATTTAACTTCCTTTAAAGAAGATTGGTGAGATTGATGGGAGGGGGGAGGGGGGAGTGTAAGTTTTTAATGTTTGAAGGGGAACCCCTCCATTTGGGCTTTAGGTGCAAATCCTTTTCTGGGGGTTTCTTCCCTTCTTCTTTTAATGCCCCTAGGACCTGCTTTGGGGTCACTGGACTTTTGTCGCACAACATTCTTTTTATAGAGGCCTGTACCTCTTGTTCCTTTTTGACTTTTTAAAGTGGTTCACACTTGTCAGTTTACAGGTTTCCAACACGGCTTTCAGTAGCTGTGCCAGGGTGATTTTTTATAAAAAGGTTTGCACTTCAAGCCACTTTGCACACATTTCCTTAAAAACTTTGAAGAGGCAATTTCGTCAAAATTTTTTTTATCCCCCCTCCGAACCAAGTTTCCTCAGGGGTGGCCTCTGCTGTTGAAGATGCTAGCGCTTCAGTGGTTTTTGTCATTGTCTTCCCACCAAATCTTTTAAAATCCCCCCCATGACCTCCAACCCCAAGGACTTTCCAATGCCCCAGTGGTTCCTCAACTGGCATAATTTTCCCGGGTTAGCCCCAAACCCCTTTAAAAACCCCCTTTTGTCTACACATTCTGGCCACATTTTTCCCAAACAAGGGTTTAGGGCTCTTAGTCACTCCCTCCCCAACCTCCTTTAAAGGGTTTACACAATTGAGGATATTAAAGTGATCCTTCCAAAACTCCTTTAGAGTCAGTAGAGTATCTGTGGTCACTTCAAAGCACCTTTCAAACATAGCATTTGTGTACAGTTTCTTGAAGTTGGAAATGACCTGCTGGTCCATGGGCTGCAGGAGAGGAGTGGTATTAGGAGGCAAAAACTTGACCTTAATGAAGCTCATGTCCCCACAAAGTCGCTCTGCCAAGTCTGTAGGATTACCAGGGGCATTGTCTAACACCAGGAGGCACTTAAGGTCTAATTTCTTTTCAATTAGGTAATTTTTCACAGTGGGGGTAAATGCATGGTGTAACCAGTCATGGAAAAAGTCCCTAGTGACCCATGCCTTAGTGTTTGCCCTCCACAGCACACACAAATTAGCCTTGAGGATATTCTTTTGCCTGAATGCTCTGGGAGTTTCTGAGTGATACACCAATAAAGGCTTCACTTTGCAATCACCACTAGCATTGGCACACATCAATAGAGTAAGCCTGTCTTTCATAGGCTTATGTCCTGGGAGTGCCTTTTCCTCCTGAGTAATGTAAGTCCTGCTTGGCAATTTTTTCCCAAAAAACAGGCCTGTTTCGTCACAATTAAACACTTGTTCAGGTTTCAATTCTTCAGCCTCTATGTACTCCTTGAATTCATGCACATATTTTTCAGCTGCTTTTTGGTCTGAACTGGCAGCCTCACCATGCCTAATCACACTATGTATGCCACTACGATTCTTAAATCTTTCAAACCAACCTTTGCTGGCCTTAAATTCACTCACATCACCACTAGTTGCAGGCATTTTTCTAATTAAATCCTAATGCAACTGCCTAGCCTTTTCACAAATGATCGCTTGAGAGATGCTATCTCCAGCTATCTGTTTTTCATTTATCCACACCAATAACAGTCTCTCAACATTTTCTAACACTTGCAATTGCTGTTTTGTAATCACAGTTGCACCTTTTGCAAGAACAGCTTCTTTGATTGCCGTTTTCCTGCTCACTATAGTAGAGATGGTTGATTGGGATTTACTATACAACTTGGCCAGGTCCGACACATGCACTCCACTTTCATACTTTGCAATTATCTCTTTCTTCATTTCAATTTGTCATTAGCACCCTTGGTCTCGATGGGTTGGCACTAGAAGCTTTCTTGGGGCCCATGGTGACTTATTTTTCAGAAACAAGCACCAAAAACAGTGATAATATGGATAATATGGAATGTACCGAATGTATCCTTAGATGCGCGCACACTGGCTGGCTTGTAAACACTGGCACACACGGGGCAGTTCAGGCCACGCGTGGACACGTCTCGTACGAATTGTATCGCATACCGGGTTTTGTAACGGGAACCGAGGCAAATTTTTTGCGATATAATGCTTCGGATACCGGATTTATCGGTTACCAATGACTTCGCGAACCGAGGGTCCACTGTGATATATATATATATATATATATATATATATATATATATATATATATATATATATATATATATATATATATATATATATAAATATATATATATATATATAAAACAATGAGAAATAAATGTAAAGGACTAATGAAATGGATAGATGAACATTTAACATCACTTTTATCTTTATTGAAGACTCTTGTTGGCTTATGGAAGACGGTGAGGAGGGGAGAGGGAGGAGAGGTTATCTCTACCACCATCACAACCACCCTCTACCACAATCACTACCACCCTCTACCACCATCACTACCACCCTCTACCACCATCACTACCACCATCACTACCACCCTCTACCACCATCACTACCACCCTCTACCACCATCACTACCACCCTCTACCACCATCACTACCACCCTCTACCACAATCACTACCACCCTCTACCTTTGTACAGGGTGGTAGTGATATTTCTCCACCAAACTTTGCAACTCATTCTATGAGTTCTCTCTTGAATTCTATCGTGTTTCTCGCCTTCTTTATCAAAGGACTGGCACTTGGAACTTTCTTTGGCTCCATGATGGCTTACTTAGCAGTCACTCAATGAACAAGCACAAAAAACATGGATTATTACAAAATGTTTCGGATGAACACACAGGGTAATGCTCACTTGACGAGAAACAAAGCCAGACTGGCTCAGAATGCGTGGGATGCTTTGTGTGGGCGTGGGTGGACACGTTTGGTACAGTGGACCACTGTCAACTTGATGAAAACCAAGGTGATGAACGAGAACTGGGACAAAATTTTGATGAGAAAAGTCATCGGAAACCGAATTCGACGAAAACCAGGACAAACGAAAACCGAGGTTCCACTGTATCTCCAATGGGACACCTTGAAAAAAACTTTATGCACAGTCCAATTTTGTGATTGTAGCCCAGTCCCAGACCAGTCATGCTGTTGTTGAACTTAAACTGCCTATTGTTTTTGCACAAACAGTTATTGAATGCTTTGTATTGGTTTCTTAATATAATTTTAGGTGAAAAAATAGTCACAGATGTAGTATAATGCGATCCTTTATTGACCACATGTTTGTCCACACAGTGGGCTTTATCAAGTCACAAACAGTTCTGTTTGTGACTTAAAGCCCACGTTGTGAGTGAAACTTAGTCAACAAAGGATCACATTATACTGCATGTGTCTATTTTTCCATCACGTCAGTATTTTGTACCATTTATCCCCATAATTTCAGGTAATTATCGATCAGCAATCAAAGACTGTGAGAAAGCTGTTGAATTAAAGACAGACTACCTGAAAGCTGTTGTCAGGGCTGTTGACTGTGCTACAAAATTAAATTCATGGGATGAAGTCTTCCACTGGTGTGATCGAGGCCTCAGACTTGATCCAACAAATCAGAAGTTGAAGACTGACCGATTAACTGCCCTCAAGGAAAAGGTGAGACACAGTTTTTTGTATCCTATCATTTATGTTCATAGCCTTGATGTAGTGCATTTATATATTGATAACCTAGTAAAAAAATTGATTGAAAATGTATTCCTCTTGTACTGGTTCCAATTTAATGAAGACTCAATGTATTTCTGTAAACTGTTTAGTTACTGTATAGATTTTATATAAATTCATACAAGTTAATATTCAAAGTATTGAACTTTTCTGAACATTATACAAGAAATGAATTGAATTAATGGTATGAGCATTTATTTTAGTATGGCAATACAGTAGTGGATAATTATGATATAATGAAATGAGCCTGGCTGGTACAGCACCTACTAATTGCAAAAAATCGCCAAAGGCCAATCCACAATTTTTTTTTTTGCATATTCATTTTTTCCTAGTACAGTATTACTCACATGAGTTAGGTCTTTCAGTTAGAACCTTATTCATGCACATACAGTACTCTAAAGCTCTGAAATTTGGCTTTAGGCAAACAATTCTTTGGGTCATGAATTACGCCTGTAGTTTTTTTTTATAATCTTATCACCAGTCAGCTTTTCATTTCCAGTATGATATTTAATAGAAACTTATTGAGCAAGCAGTTGAGAATTGTAGCTGATGTTGGCTGGAAAATTATCACATAATGTGGTGCTTCTCATTACTGTTTAACAAAAAAAACACTGAAAAAAAAGTAATTTTGCCATATAGCCTTTCTTACCTATTTATTCATAAATCCTACAGTACTTTTTGCTGCTACATCCTTCCCCAGGCTTTCCCTCTCTATTCATACTATTCCTATGGCCTAACAATGACTTGCATTCTTTTCAACTTAGGGATAATTGCTTCCTATTATTTGAGCATTTCATTTTAATACATTGTGAAGTAATAAAAGATACGCCTAATATGCTTTTTGTTTTCCAAAACAGAAATTACTGGAGAGAAATGCTCGGAAAATGGCTCGGGATGAAAATAAGAAAGCGACCGAAGAACAAAATCTCATAAATGCCATCAAGAATAGTGGTGTTCAGCTTGGCAGCACAGTTTTGAAAGGTTCCTCATCCATTTCTCTGTCAGACCTTGAACCCTGTCATCCTGCAGCACAGGTGTGTAGTGCAAAGTGTTCAATTTTTGTAGTGAATGAAGAGTAGTTAGATAGACGAGGAATGGGGCGATAATTGAATTAGGTGCAGTCAACAAGTGATAAAATAAACACGTAGCAGAATGAGGCCTTTATTAGTATTTGTACGGCTGTGTTAATAAGGGTCTCCCTTTGCTGTCTGTATAGCTTTTTACCTAAGAATAGGAAATACACATAGCCAGGCAAGGTTTTTATTAGACAATGTTTCACTCTAAATATAAGGGCTTTATCAAGTCTATATCTGAATGAGGGGTGGGGATATTTGCAGTTTTGAACTGTAGTATTAGTGCCTCTCTGGCAAAGGTAGTAATGGAGTGAGGATGGTGAAAGTGTTTCTTCTCTTTTGGGCCACCCTGCCATGGTGGGAAATGACTGGTGTGTTAAAAAAGTGAAAAAGGGTTTCTCTGCCGCATTCCTTGCTCGGTATTTTTTCATTATTATTTTATCTTTGATTAACTATTATAGTTCATGCTTTCCTGTCAAGAAAACAAGTAGAGATAAATCTCCTTGTGTTATTTGGGAAGAGTTTCAGTATTTCAGAAAATCGTGGAGGCAGTGATATATGTACCAAGTTTCATTCCCTTTTTTTAATACACCAGCTATCTACCACAAAGAGAGGGTGACCCAGAATAAAAGGAAACTCGTTCATTGTCACTTCTTGCTAGAAGTGGACTGACCTCACAGTTTAGTTTACCTTCAGCTACAACATCCTCACTCCTTGTGGGAGAAAAACAAGTGTTCCAAAAGAAAAATATTCAGGCCCAAACCTACTCTTTTGAGCTAAATTTCTATGTTTAAGAATGTTACAATAGTGGATCTATAAGGGGGTGCCTTGATCCAAAGAATTGGAAATACTCTCCTCTCTTGAATCAAACCTAATTGCCTCCCATTCTTCAGTTTCTTTGGGAATGCTACACCCTGAAAAATAACAATAATTCATTCCTCGAGTTCCTGCCAATGTAAAAAATCTACAAAATTACTCTTGAACACTTGAACCAAAGGTAATTAGGTATAGTTACCAAGGAATTGCTAAAAAAGTAATATCTTTGCTATTAAATAAAATGTTTATTGTGTATTACACACTAGAAAGTAACTCTTTTAAGTAACTAAAGCTATAAAAGAATAAAAAGTCACAATACCATGGCTGGAATAATTCACCAAAAAATTCTGCTTAAGAGATGAATCTTATGAAGATGTTTTGTTCAGTCCTGGACCATTGTCGAGTCACGACTGGGCTTGACAAAATGGTGCAGGATGGACTGATGTGTCATCATTAAGTTTCCTTCCCAAGTGCAGGTTTTTGATGAATTGTAAACTAAAAATTTTCTTCCCTTCAAAGGAGCTGGGGGCCTTGATCTTTATAAAGGGCATTTGATTTGAGGATTTTGGGCTATTCTTTCCTTCCTTGGATTAAACTTGATTACTTCCCATTTTCTAGATGCTATATGAATATAATAATACCATTTTCTCTTAAGGGTTCTCGTGTGCATTTTAATGAGAGTGGAGAGTTAGTGTGGCCAGTGATGCTCCTGTATCCAGAACATCATGAGACCGATATTATTCAAGAGTTTCCAGAAAGTGATCAGTAAGTTTAACTTTTTTTTCTTTTTTTTTAAGCACACCGGCCATTTCCTACCAAGGGAGGGAGACCCAGAATAGAAGAAACACATTCAGTTTCACCAAAAGTGTGCTGACATCACAGTTCAGATGGTACTCTGAAAGGCAACATCCTCACCCCTTTGGTAGAAGTACTGTATTATACATTCTGATAAATGATCTTTGTCCACCTTAGAAATCTAAATTAAATTATTATAGTTTTAGATTGATTTCATTATATTTTCCAAAGTTTAAACTTTTTTTTTTAAATTTCTTTTGTAACACATTTTTATAATTTTCAGTATCATAGATCACCTTGAGGTTATTTTTGGAAAGGAAGCAGCACCAGCACCATGGGACACTGAACACAAATATCAAGTTAATAACCTGCATGTGTTCTTTGAAGACAAAGAAAAAACTAAACTCTGTAAAGTTGACCCAAATCAGACTCTACAGCAAGTGCTGAGGGACCCCAGGTAAGTATGAACTCTAATTATATGGTTCAGAGAACCGACATCTTGATGAACGAGACACTTGTGGAAACGTTTCACTAACAAGTGGCTTCCTCAGTCTGGTATAGAAATGAGAGGTGGAAGACGAGTAGAGAGTTTGAGGTAATCAGTCTCTCGGTCTTGTGTCAATGTGTTCAATCCATCAGTCTTGATCAGAGTACAGCATATGCACCTGCTGGCAAAATGTTATCCAAGTGCTGCACAAATGTCTCGCTTATCAAGTAGCAACTGACTTGTACAGATGTCTAATATTTATCCTCTGACTGTTTTTATGGTAAGCACTACAGTAATTATTAGTCATAAATATGTGCTACAACACTACAGTAAGTCTCCACTTTATTTGGGTTTGCTACATTCTAATTTGCTTTTACTTGATGGCTCATTTCTTCCAGTAATTCCCTATGTGATGTGAAGTCATTTACACCACCAGTGCAGTTCACAAAATGTAAGATTTTTTTTTTTAAACACACTGGCTGTCTCCACTGAGGTAGGGTGAATGACCCCCCCCCCAAAAAAAAAAAAAATTACATTTTTTTTTTTTCAACAAGTTGGCCATCTCCCACCTTCACTTATTCAAATAGCTGTCTTGCCAGAAGTGTGCAGCTATCACATTTCAAGTAGCCCTCCAGACTGCAGCATCCCCATCAATCCTTTGGAGTGCAGGATCTGTATGTCCCACTTCCAAGACTTGAGTCTGGCTAACTGCTTTCCAGTTAGCTGGACTTCATATGTTATACAGTATTTACATTTAGGATTAGGATGACTTGATTGGGATTACTGCAGCTCCCATGGGCTTTGAATACATCTCACTGAAGCAAGGGATACTATAGGTTTATTTTAATTAAACCATCCTCTTTTTACTGGCAGTTTTATAGCTGTCATTTCACACAATATTTTACAAGGTGGTAAAATATTGGAGGTTAGTATACCTGGAGAGGGTTTCAGGGGTCAGCGCCCCTGCGGCCTGGTCTGTGACCAGGCCTCACGCCTGATCAACCAGGCACACAACCTGACATACGAACCACAGCCCGACTGCTCAGGTACTGACTTTAGGTGCCTGTCCAGTACCTTCTTGAAGACAGCCAGGTGTCTATTGGTAATCCTCTTTATGTATGATGGGAGGCAGTTAAATTCACTGTTCAACTTTTTTACAATCGGCATATTCTGTGTAAAAACCAAGAATCCAAAGGCAGCAACCAGATGAGGTTATTCAGTCCTGGGGATGGTTTATGGATAACGTTGTATTACTTCAGAGATGCAAGTGGTATAGTATTGATGCTGTGTATTTCTCCATATTTTGACCTGTGGAAAGAAAGAGACACAAATCATCAATATTTTGGTACACTGTTGGCCACTATCAAATCATCTTATGACTTGATAACCATCCTGATGGGATATATATTTTTTTTTTTTTTTTTTTTTTTTTTTTTTAACTTGCCACCAGTGTGACATCCAGTTATACTTAAAAATTTTATTTTAGCCTATTGTTTTTACAGGAATTTACATAAATAAAAATCACATGAGTGAAGAGAAAGGCAAGTGTTGAAATTTACCATTGGCTTCCACATTTTTAAACCAGCATTTCTACAGTGAGACTAGTCTGAGTGCCTAGCTAGCAGAATCAGTATTCTGTAAAAGCTTCCGTAATTTTATTTATTTTTCATTTGCCCTCTTTCACACTTCCTCATAAAGCTTATAAGCTATAAATTTAGTTGTCAGTTGGGTTATACAGATATAAACTGAAAACTTAATAAATTGTATTCTTACTCTGTTTTTCTTCTGCAGATATCACGTCTTGGGCGGCACTCCAGGTTTCATCATTCTTGTTGAAGGCAGCAGGTTCATGAAGGATTTTGTGTCAAAATATAGCATTTAAAATTCTGTGGATTTTTCGATGAATCTTGTAGCTCCTCTCAGTTGCTACCATTTAATTCCCTGTAAATAAAATATTTTGTTTGTAATACTATTACATGGTTGATTTGGTAAAGAGACAAGCAGCATTCAAATTCAAAGTTTATTCTCTATAAGGATTACAATGCTGAGTTTACAGAATTTGGTTATTGTGTGGTTTACATGTAGTAAAATAATAACTACAGAGTGTACCACTAGAACACCTAGCATGGCTAGGCATTTCGGGCAGACTTAAATTAAATCTTAAGTTTAAAATATTACAAAATTATGAGGTAAGTTGGTATTATGGCTAAGTGACTAAATACTAGTTTGTGAGTTTAGCAATGTAAATGCTTTTGTTTTGGCACTATACATAGTTTCAGTATTGGAGTATCACAGGCCAACTTATGACTAGTTAAGATTCATTATTTTGAGATTGAGATTGATATTTCTGTTTATGGTCAAATGGGCGAGTGAGTGTGTTAACCACCAGGTGGTATTCGTGTAATTAGTTGACAGGGTGTATCAGGGAGATAAGATGTTTTCTGATGGTAGTTTTGAAGGTGGTGAATGTGTCTGCAGTTTTAGAATTTTCAGGTAAGGTGTTCCAGATTTTAGGGCCTTTGACATACATTGAATTTTTGTAAAGGTTTAGTCGGACACGGGGAATGTCAGACATACATTGAATTTTTGTAAAAGTTTAGTCGGAAACGGGGAATGTCCAAGATGTTTGTGTCTGGTGTTGTGCCTGTGGGTTCTGTCACAACTATCAAGAAAGCGTTTTAGGTCAAGGTTAATATTGGAATTTAAGGTCCTGTAGATGTCGATTGCACAGTAGTAAGTGTGGATGTACTGAAGAGGGAGTAAGTTTAGATCTATGAAGGTGGGGGGGGGGTGTGTTGCCAGGGATGGGATTTAGTGATTATTCTTACTGCAGCTTTTTGTTGGGTTATTATTGGCTTTAGGTGTGTTGCTGCAGTTGAACCCCAAGCACAGATAGCATAGGTGAGGTATGGATATACAAGTGAATGGTATAGTGTGAGAAGGGCAGTTAGCGGCACGTAGTATCACATCTTGGAGAGGATCCCAACCGTTTTGGATACTTTTTTGGTTGTGTTGGATATGGGTGCTGAAGTTCAGGTTGTTGTCGAGGTATAGGCCTAGGAATTTGCTCTCATTATGCCTGGCAATTAGAGTGTTGTCGATCTTAATGTTAATTTGCGCATCTCCTGCTCTGCTACCAAACATAATGTAGTAGGTTTTGTCAGTGTTAAGCGTAAGTTTATTGGCTGTCATCCAAGTCGATATTTTGATCAGCTCCTCATTAACAATGGTGTCGAGGGTGGCAAGATTAGGGTGAGAGATGACATAAGTTGTGTCGTCAGTAAAGAGAATGGGGGTTCAGGTGTTGAGATACGTTTGGAAGATCATTGATGTATATGAGGGAGCAGGGGACCAAGGACACTTCCCTGCAGAACTCCAGTATCAAGTGGCTGTGTTGTTGCCTGGCTAGTTTTGCCTGGTCAGCAGGCATTATCAAGTTTGATGGATTATACTTTGTGGCAGCACATGGTCAGGTGTAAATTAAGGTAATAACTGTAGTATTAGCTTGTCTCTGGCAAGACAGAGTAATGAAAGTGTCTCCTTGTTTGCATCACCCTGCCTTGGTGGCAAACAGCTGTGTTAATATTTGAAGAGAAGAACTGCGGTAGGCTTGCTGGCAGCGGGTGGTAAGTCTCGGTGTTAACAGGTTCGCTATCTATATAGCTCAAGGTTTTGCCTCTTGAAAGCTTCCTTGGTTCTGAAATTTTAAGTTTTTGTAAGTCACACAAATTATTTTGTATGCAGTTAAAGATAAAGGCTTTTAAAGTGAATTTGATAATGGTATACAATATTGAGAAGTTGATAAGATGTGTAACAGTTAGGTATCTTTATTCTGAAATGCTTTGCCTACACAGGCTTCTTCAGTCAAGTACAGAGGCGGCAGCAGAAGCAAGAGAGATGTAAAGATGATGTAATCAATGAAGAAATGGTATACAGGTCTCCCTCAACATTTGCGAGGGTTAGGGGATCAAGAGCATCGCAAATGTTTGGTGCCCCAATATATTGTAGGGAAATACAATACTGCTTCCTTAACTTGTTGAACCATGAACAATCGTAAAATACACGAAAATGTCGTAAAATATTGTACTAAATACATACACGTTATGGTTTAATAACATGTTATTAAATACCACTGCCTCAACCACTGCAGAGCACTGCTCGTATTTTGGTACAATTTCTTTCTTCAATTCCATCGTGTTTCTCAATATCTTTACCAAAGGGCTGGCACTAGCAAGTTTCTTTGGGCCCATGGTTAATTATGTGGCAGTCGCATTCAATCTACGAGCACCAAACACAATGAATTATTGTGAAATGTTTGGAAGAGCGTAGAGACTAATGCTCACTTCAGCATAAACAAAGCCACATGTGTCTAATTTATCATAAACAAAGGCACACTGACTGACGATGCCTCAACCACTTCCTCCACCACTGCTTCAACCCTCGTATTTTTGTATAATTTCCTTCTTCAATTCTATCGTATTATTATTATTAATACGATAGAATTGAAGAAGGAAATACAGTGGACCCCCGGTTAACGATATTTTTTCATTCCAGAAGTATGTTCGAGTGCCAGTACTGACCGAATTTGTTCCCATAAGGAATATTGTGAAGTAGATTAGTCCATTTCAGATCCCCAAACATACACTTACATAAATACACTTACATAATTGGTCGCATTGGGAGGTGATCGTTAAGCGGGGGTCCACTGTAGTACAAAAATACGAGGGTTGAAGCAGTGGTGGAAGAAGTGGTTGATGTATCGTCAGTGTGGCTTTGTTTATGCTGGAGTGAGCATTAGTCTCCACACTCTTCCAAACATTTCACAGTAATTCATTGTGTTTGGCGCTTGTAGATTGAGTGCGACTGGAGTAGTAGAGGCATTGGTAGAGGCAGTGGTTGAGGCAGTGGTAGAGACAGTGGTTGAGGCAGTGGTAGAGACAGTGGTTGAGGCAGTGGTAGAGGCAGTGGTTTTTAATAACAATAATAATAATACATGTTGTTAATAATAACATGTATTATTATTAACAACATATATCTTATTAAATACCACTGCCTAAACTGCTGCCTCAACCACTCCAGTCGCACTCAATCTACAAGCACCAAACACAATGAATTACTGTGAAATGTTTTGAAGTGTGGAGACTAATGCTCACTCCAGCATAAACAAAGGCGCACTGAATGACGATGCATCAACCACTTCTTCCACCACTGCTTCAACCCTCGTAATTTTGTACAATTTCCTTCAATTCTATCATATTATTATTATTAGCAGTAGCAGAAATGTTTGATTCTTTGCCGTGTTCAAGAGGGAGGGCAGTAGGGACTCGCGGGTGGCGGAAAACTTAAATATGATTTGGCGGTTGGGAATTTGCGAATGTGTGAAGCCCGCGAATGTTGAGGGAGACCTGTATAGCGATACCGACAAGATGTGGAAAAAAGACACTTACGTACAGTTCAGGACATTTATTAAAGGAAACTTTTTACTGCGAATGACTTCTTCTGTCCTAATACAGAGAAATCTAAGAAAACGAGTATATATGTATATATACATGTATATATAATGGCAGGAGTCAGGTGGAGTGTTGTGTGGGTAGAGGTAGTAGTGGTAGTAGTAGTACTAATGAAACTAATGTAGTGAGATGGGAGGGTAGAGAGGGACCTGTTGATATGTTATAGCAGTCTCCAGAATGGGTAATATCCTGTTGATTAGCAATTTTGAGATACTGTAACAACTGGACTTTTGATAGACAGTATTACTGACAGCAATCAGGGCAGCTTCTGTGTATTTTGTCTGTCATAAATCATCTTCTTTAGTCACTAGTTGAGCCTCACTGAATTTCGTGGTGTCCAACATCGTCCCTATGTTGCACACGGCATCTTTACGGTCATCATTTCAGCAAGCATTTTTGTGTTTGTGATCCTAATGACCAGAGATCTGGCTGAACACAAAAATTCTTGCAGAAATGATAACTGTAAAAACACGTGTGTTCAACATAGGGACGATGTTGGACACCTCATGAAATTCAGTGAGGCTAAACTAGTGATTAAAGAAAACGATTTATGACAGAGAAAATGCATAGAAGCTGCCATAATTGCTGTCAGCAATACTATCCATCAAAAGTCCAGTAGTTACAGTATCTCAAAATTGCTAATCAACAGGATATTACCCATTCTGAAGCCTGCTGTAACATGATATCAACAGGTCCCTCTCTACCCACCCATCTCACCACATTAGTTCAACTACTGCCTCTACTCATGCGACACTTCACCAAACTCCTGCCACTATACGTATATATAAACTTATTTTCTTAGTTTTCTCTGTATTAAGACTGAAAAAGCCACTCGTGGCGTAAAGTTTCCTTTAATAAATATCCTGAGTTGTATAGCCCTTGTGGCTTAGCGCTTCTTTTTTATTATAATAATAAATGTCCTGAACTGTCCATAAGTGTCTTTTTCCACACGATATGATCAATCCATCACCCTTGAAGACATAGTTTTGAGGTGGTCAGGCCCTCAACCTGGAGAAGAGTTTTGCTGCATAGTCTGGAATAATGTGAAGCTGAAGCAACAGTACGGAGACGTACTGTCAAAGGTGAGGCGCGGGTAATCTTGATGGCAGGAGAGGCAGAGCCCGCTAGTATTAGTAAGAATGTAATCGTTGAGAGGGCAGATCCCTCTTAAATCCATCCCTGTCCTCTCATTGATTACATTTTTACTTCTACTAGTGGGCTCCGCCTCTTGTCAAGATCATCTGCGCCTCACCTTTGACAGTACATACACCAGTCTCCATAATGTTGTTTCAGCTTTGTATTGTTCCAGACTATGGAGCAAACCTCTTTTCCAGGCTGAGGGATTGGCCACTTCGTAACGTCTTCAAGGGTGATGGACGGATTATATTGTCTTTATGTCTGTTCTGCCTCCTTTGTACTTGACTGATGACTACTGTGTAGGTGAAACATTTCAGAATAAGGATACCTAACTGTTGCACATATGTCTTTTAAACAGTCTTATTTAAATGGAAAAGTTTATTCCATTAAATTTTAAATTTGTCAATGCTTATATTTTCCTTTTCATTTTTTGAGATGTATAAAGCTAATTAAATTAACATTTAGCTATTGATACTTGTTCATCTATCAAAACTTTGGGGCCCAGTTCCTGGACCCATTATGTACCTCTGTAATCTTTTTGACTACCACCCACAGGATGGGTATGGGGCGCATAATAAAGATACTGAACTAACATTTAGCTATGGACATTTCAGCAGCAATTAGTATATTAAATTTTTCTAAGCAAGTATAGTTGAACCCTAGGATTCACATAGGTTGGTTTGTGAATGTAACATGAATTCCGAGACTAAATAATTGGAAATGTTGCATGTTGAATATATTTAATTTTTTAGACTATGTAATTTACATGTACATGTATGTAGGTAAATTTCATTTTTTTTTTTTTTTTTTTTTTGACATTTCTGTTTCTGCTTAAATGTTTAGTATTGAACTTTGTAAGAAAGCATATTTTGAATGAAATCTCATTGTCAGTTTACAGTTTAGGCAGTGTGTACCAAGCAACAACGAAAAAACAACTATTTGAAACTATCATACAAAAGGCCTACTGTAAGTAGAAACATTGTTTGAACATATCACATGAGTTATCAAGCTCAAGAAGTTTGACTGTACAGTAAAAGTTTACTTGTCTCTTAAGAATTAGTTCAGTTTACACATTTATGTCAGAATTTTTGCCAAACTAAAGAAAATGAACCGTTTAAGAAGCATTTAAAACTATACATGTACTGCACTTCTAAATACTGTGTAATATTATTCTACCTTTAATGGTATGTTACTTTGTTGAATACTGTGTATTCTTGTTTTTCAACACACCAGCCTCATCCCACCAAGGCAGGGTGGCTTAAACAGAAAATGAAATTTTTTCTTTTTGCATTTAATAATGTATACAGGAGAAGAGGTTACTTGCCACTTGCTCCCGGCATTTTAGTCGCCTCTTATGACAGGCATGACTTACAGAGGAATAATTCTTTTCCACTTTCCCATGAAGATTATTATTTTACTCTTAATAAAAAATATTATTTTTGAGTTTTGTGCAATAAATTATTCTACCCTTAATAAAAATGTTATTTCATTCTTGTGTTATTCACCTTAGCATGTTAACAATAACATCAAGTTCTTTACAAATACAGTAAACCCTTGATTTATCAGATTTCACTAATACACAGGTTAAAATCTACTGGGTTAATTGAGTCAGAAGCAATCATTTGGTTTCAGAATTGTCTGCTGTTACATCATGACACAACAATCTTTAATACAATCGCCATTACCAACCTTCTGTGTACCCCCTTCCCTATTAGATCATTAAATAAAGGGGTTACTGTGCAAGAAATATCTAAACCAAAACAGTCGGTGTTCACTACACTGAAGCACTCCTAATGCACCAGCAATAAAAACAAGACTAAGGAAGCTAAATTTTTACAAATTTTAAAAATAAGTACTGTACTGTATGAATGTAAAATGAAGAGCTTAAAATTAATGCCAGACATTATTCTATGCTCAGACATGCTTACATTGTCTGCCCTCCTCTGACAATACCACCTTTACTGCAGATTCTGAGGTACTAACATCAGCACCTCAGACATGCAGTGCAGAACAACGTAGAGGAGTCAGTTAAGTACAAAAATGAATAATACCGTGACTGGGTCAGTATTTTTATTTTGACTATAAGAAAAATAAAGCAGTTTCAAAATTAATCAACTTCCTTTTTTAAGACAGAAAATTTAAGCATGGTAAAAGTTCTGACACTCAAAACTTCTAAATTTTCAATTAGGGTCTACTTAATGCAATTTTTTTTTTTTTACCTCATTGGCCATCTTCCATCAAAGCAGAGTAACTGTCCAAAAAATGAAATATGTTCACTGTCATTCATCAATGTCTTCCCAGACCTGTGCTGACATCACAGTTCAGATGACCCTCGTAAAGCATGATCTCTGCCCTTTCAGGGTACTGGTACTGCCCTTCCTAGCTTCAGGACTTGTTTCCCTGAATCCCTCACAAATGCTCACACTCCAATAGTATGATAATTAAAAATCACTTTTTTCCCATACACTGCTATTTAACACACAAAAGTCTGCTAGGTGCTAAAGTCCCTGAAACTCAAAGCCTCCTTTGTCCCCTCCTTACAACCATTCCAGATATAACCTCTTTCCCCCTCCCACCTTCCTGTCTTCCACCCCAGATTTATACACCCTCTTCATCCTATCCATCTCCATCCTGTCTGCATACCCAAACCACCTTAACCCCTCCTCGACTCTCTGACTCATACTATTGGTGATTCCTCAGTGTGCTTTTGCCACATCCACCTGTACATTATCCTACCCTGCCCAGACTAATGCCTCCCCTTCATCATTAACATTCAACAAATCTTCACAATATTCCTCTCCATCCTTCCAGTACCACCACCTCCCTGCCTAACATCTCTTTTTTTCATTGTTGACTGCAGTTTCTATTTACTTCTCAGGCTTCCTAACCTTGGATATCTCTCTCCAAAACCATTTCCTATTCTCAGTAAAATTTGCTGATGAAAACTTGCTTATTTTCTCACTTACTCTTCTGTAGCACTTCCTCACAATTCCTTAACCCTTAAACTGTCCAAACGTAGATCTACGTTTTATCAACATTTGAAAGTATGTAAAAAACCTGTAATCTTCTTTTGTTTTTTACTTTTGAAAACGTGAAAAAACTTTGATCTACATTTTTTTTTTGGTTATACGTATTCGAAAATATGTAAAAAAAACGTAGATCTACTTTTGGAGCACTACGCATGCGAATGTAGATCTGGTTGGACAGTTTAAGGGTTAAATGTCTTATTTTGTGCCTTCTGTACATTGTTTTCACATTTTAAAACCCTCTCATGATGCTAACGTTATTCTTCCCTTAACTATCTTTCAACCGTGGCACTTTTACTTAGCTCAGCTGAATCTAATCTGTTTGTCTCCCATATCCTCAGAGGCTATTATGATATTTACTGTTTAGTACTTACACTCCTTCCCTTTAAAAAATATATATTACCACTCTTTACCTGATCATTCCACTATCATACCTTTACCCACAAACGTTTGCTGTGCACCCTGGAGTTGCATTAAGTTAACTCCACACCCTCAACTTCATTTCCTGATCTCTCTAACCCCCACCTAACCAAAAATAGTTGCCTATATCTTTTTGACACCATCCTTTAGTTCATTTATTTTCAGTTCTCTCCTACCCACTGATGCCTTTCTCCTTGTATACCATCAAATGGATCAGATTAGTAAGATTAGAGTAGTTGTCTAATAAATACCACAAAGGTTACATCTCCTTAGAGGAGAAAAGAGTAGGTATCCAAGAATTTATCTTCCGGCTACAAACTCACAGGCCAGTGTGTTGAACCACTAGTCCATGCCAGCGTAATAAGATTTATCCAACTAAGTATATTTCTACACATCACAGGAATGTTAGCATGCGTCCCAATGTAACCACAAATGTAGGTACATATTTACAGACTAATCGTGACATTACTTTCACCTAGAAATACAAGTCTATCAAACTACTATGCAACTTCATGTGGGTTATACAGGACTACTGAGGGTGCAAAATTGAAATCGAAGCAGGTGTAGTTAGTTAAAAACTCAAGAGTTACTCTACATAAAGGACCTTTTAGCGAGGTGGTCAGTGCGCGACAGTACAATGGAAATGTTGGAATTGAATTATGTGGAGTCTGAAATAGATACAAGTCTATTAATAGTGGAACCTAGGTGTTCGTGAGAAATCTGTTTGAAAAAGTCTGACGAAAAATGAATTGTACAAAAACTGAAGCAATATTTCCCACAAGAAATAATGTAAATCCAATTAATCTATTTCAGACGCCCAAAATTATTAACAAAAAATACATTTTATAGAGAATAACTATAGTTTTACATACAGAAAACAATGAGAATTAAATATAAGTGACTAAAGAAATGGATAAATGAACATTTAACTTCACTTTTGCCTTGATTGAAGACGCGTGTTGGCATATGGAAGATGGCGAGGAGGGGAAAGGGAGGAGAGGTTATTGTTTGGAAGGGGAATCCGCACCCATAAGGAATTCAGGTAACAAGGCCCTATCTGGGGCTATTTCCCTTCTCTCTCTTTTACTGGCACTAGGGCCAGCTTGAGAGTCACTGGACCCCTGTCGGACAAAAAATCAGTCCAGAGAGGTCTGTTTCTGGCATCTCTAAGATTTGCCTAAAATGGAACAAACCATTGTCACTGAACATGCTGCAGACACGGTTTGCAACAGCTTTGTTAGGGTGATATTTCTCCACCAAACTTTGCAACTCATTCCACTTTGCACACATGTCCTTAATCACTAAAGGCACATTCTCTCCTCTCTCTCTTTCTTCTCCTCTGAAGCAATTTCCTCAGCTGCAGTCTGCTACTGTTCCAGTTGAAGGTCTTGCAGCTCTTCAGTGGTTAGCTCCCCTGTGGTCAGCCACCAACTCTTCCACATCCTGGCCACTCACATCCAACCCATGGACTTCCCCAAAGACAAAATAGATTCCACAACAGGCGTAGAGTTGTCAGGGTCAGCCTCAAACCCTTCAAAATCACGAATGCATGGGATGCTTTGTGTTGGGTACTTGATTCTGGGAAATGAGTGGCTGAGTCACGCGGGCAGGCGGAAGAGTTTGGTACAGACCATTTTCAACTGTACAAAAACTGAGCGGATGTACAAACACTGGGACAAAATTTCAACAAAAAAAAAAGTCGTCAAAAACTGAATCATACGAAACCCATGTACAGTGGAACCTCAATTAACTGTTAAACCTACTTGACAGTCCTTGCAGATGGGTGTTGGGCACACGAGTTATATTAGTAGATTGTCAACAGCAAGTCTGTGTGTTTGTTACCCTGAACACTAATGTCCAGGAACCAGCAGAAAGACTTATGCTTGCTGGAAATTCGGCATAATTGTTGTATATGAAGTATGATGAGAAATGGGGAACTATTTCTGGACAGTCTGCAATGTACTTCGAGAATCTGAAATAGGAATGCAGAGGTTGGCATGGTTGTATGACAGCAAGGAGTATGGTATAAAACTGAAAATTCTTGAATTTCTATCTGGAAAGACTGCTACATAGCCTGCATCACATGATGATCTGGAACCATTGCATACACTACCATGCAGAAGTAAATGAGCGTCTGCCAGTTTGAAGCAGGTATGCCAGATTTCAATGAACACAAAAGAATTCTTCTACTGTCTCTGACGAGCTCAATTTGAACCTGTGAGCACTAAATCCTTGGGGTCATACAGTGACTGGAGGAAGAATAGACAATCTGGTTCAATTCCAGGAAGAGGAAATAGATTTAATTCCTTGTGTTGAATGTCCCTCACTGGAATCAAGAAACAATAATGTGCTGGAGAAGTTTTTTTAATATATAACCTGGTGGTAAAGCTCTCGCTTCGCATGGCAAGGGTCTGGATTCGATTCCCAGCGAAGGGATGGAAACACTGGACATGTTTCCTTACACTCATTGTCCATATTCACCCATCAGTAAAATGGGTACCTGGATGTTAGTTGACTGGTGTGGGTCACATCCTGGGACAAAACTGACTTAATTTGCTCACAACGCTCTGCATGACAAGCGGCCTTCTATATTGTAGTATATCATTTATGTCAGCTAGATCTATATACCTTGTACATGTACTTGTAAAAATAAAGATATATATTATTGTATTATTAAGAGACTGGCATCCCAGAAAATGACACATGGGTGAGTGACACTCAGGAGGGTAAGTAAGTAAGTAAGTAAGTTTATTCAGGTATACACAAATACAGTTACATAGAATTATCATATATAGCAGCATATGTGTAGAGAACCTAGGATAACCCAAAAAAGTCAGACAGAGTGACTTATTTCCATTGGGGTCCTTTTACCTTATTATTATAATATAAAGGTTATAATATTTTCTTATTATTCTACAATGAAGATAACATCTTATTATCATACTAAAAAGACTATCTGCGACACCAAGGTCATTAAGACTATCTACAATACGAGGGTCATTACAAGGAATAAGGTAAAAAATTTACACGTATGTTAGCTAAAAAATAGAAAATCATTCCCCTCCCTTTCTGTAGCTACATTCATCAGACACCTTTTGGCACTCTTCTTGAACTGGTTCACGCTATGACTGGCTTTGACATGTGCGGGTAGTCTGTTCCATTCCTTTATTGCTGTACAATAAAAGGTGTTTGAAGCCTGGCCACTGACTGTGGGTACTACAAAGTTGTGCTCTCTCCCCCTAGTTCTATGATTGCTTTGGTTCCCAACCTTGACAAAATTGACAGCAAGATATTCTGGACATTGCTTGTGAGCAATTTTATAAACATGATTTAGCTTCAGTTGTTTTACTCTGTCTTCAACATTCAGCATATCCAACTGCTGTAATTCATCCTGGCCTACATGTTCTCTTGGTCCCAGCCCCAGGATGAATCTTACGATTTTGTTCTGGGTGATTTGCAGTCTATCTTTCAATTTTTTTGTCAAGGCAGAGTACCAAGAAGAGCAAGCGTAATCCATATGGCATTGTATAAGGGCTAGACATAGAGTCCTGCGAGCCTCAGTAGGTAGACACTGTGCTTGTCTATACAGGAACTTCAGTCTGGCATTCGCTTTCTTTACTACACTGTTCCCTATCAATTCTCCTGACATGCATGGGTCAAAGGGGATTCCCAAATATTTTACTGATGAAACCAAAGTGATGGGCTCCCCATTACATTGAACATTAAAATTATTTACCCTTCTCAGTTTATGTTTCGTGCCAAAGAGACCAAATAATCCAAGGAGGGGATAGTTAAGGTGGATAGTGGAGATATTTATTATTAGTGAGAGTTAGCGTGGGTGCATAACTCATGTGAAAGTTGGCGCCATGGTTAGCGTTAGACAAATTACGATTGTTCATTAAAGGTAAAACTTCAGCGAAGAGGTCAAAATGTGTGCCAGGGCATTGTAGATGTTAGAAGTTAATTCTACTTGCTCTCTGAGAGGACAATTCCTAATATATGATTAAATGTAAAAAGGCACCCACCAGTCCTCACAGAGAAGTCTTCGGCATCTTCCCACATGGTATCCATACGGGTTTTTGTCGATACTGAAACTTGTGAGGTTTCCCATGTCCTACAATGATGGAAGTGGGAATTTTTATTTACTAAGCTCTGATTATTGTATGCCTATAAGAGACTGACGTGGATAAAATTCTGATGGCAAATCGGTAATGCCTCAAATCCTGCAAAGAGAGAGATGCTAGCTTTAATGTACAAGGTGTGGACATTTGCAAAGTGCTATACGAGGGTCATTAAATCTGCACGTAACCTGTTCATCATTTTAATCCCTAAAACGGGGATTAAAGTCATAGCATATATACACTGAAAGACATACTCTGAGTGTACATATGCCTTTCTTCTAAGTATATATACAATGAGAGTGTACACACACCTCTCGTCTAAGATAAGATTTCGTTCGGATTTTTAACCCCGGAGGGTTAGCCACCCAGGATAATCCAAGAAAGGCAGTGTGTCATCAAGGACTGTGTTTTATTTCCATTAGGACCCTCAATCTTGTCCCCCAGGATGCGACCCATACCAATCGACTAACATCCAGGTACCTATTTGCTGCTAGGTGAACAGGACAACAGGAATCGAACCCGGGCCCTTCGTGTGTGAAGCGAGAGCTTTGCCAGCCAGGCCACAGAGACACTGAGGGTACACAGTGTACATATACCTCTCGTCTTGGCATATATACACTGAGAGACATATACCTCTCTGTGTAATAGAATCTTGTCCACAAGATATAATTCAGTAAAGCCATAACCCAGAAAACAAGAAACTCACGCTTCGGACAACTAGGAGGAGGAGTGAGGTAATGACCGATCTTCGACCAAATCACAAGAATGACTGCAACAGAAGGAAAGTTAAATTAGCCACGTCACCAGGCGAGTTACACCAGTGAGACTAGGAACCTGAATAATAGATGGCGCAGACATCCTAGTTCTTTTCTATTAGTGCCTTTTAAATCTGTAACCCAGCCAAAGATACTGGTAACCCAGCCGGACTTTGGCAATAATGACATCCACATGTCTATGGTGAAGCCATAGACATGTGGCTCCTCCTGCATGATGGAATGATAATAGATGGACTGACTGCTGTTATTCTCCCTCTCCCTCTCAAGTCAGTGAAGCTCAGTTGAAGTGTTATTGTTCTCAAATTGCTAAATGACAGCCCAAGACTGTAATTTACTCCCTCTTTGAAGGTCAGTTTATCAGTTCTTTCATGACTCTAAAGACCAAGGAGATTCAATTTTCACTCCAGTAGCTGCTGCTATCTGCCGGCCGGAGTGAAGACTGTTTTCTGTTCTCAGCAATGCATAGTTAGTTTAATATGTTTATTATTATGCACCCCATACCCATCCTGTGGGCGGTAGTCAAAAGATTACAGAGGTAGGCACGGTGAAAAGCTTTGTTCCACAAGGCACAGTACTCGCTCCCGTCTTGTTCCTCATCCTCATATCTGACATAGACAAGGATGTCAGCCACAGCACCGTGTCTTCCTTTGCAGATGACACCCGAATCTGCATGACAGTGTCTTCCATTGCAGACACTGCAAGGCTCCAGGCGGACATCAACTAAATCTTTCAGTGGGCTGCAGAAAACAATATGAAGTTCAACGATGAGAAATTTCAATTACTCAGATATGGTAAACACGAGGAAATTAAATCTTCATCAGAGTACAAAACAAATTCTGGCCACAAAATAGAGCGAAACACCAACGTCAAAGACCTCGGAGTAATCATGTCGGAGGATCTCACCTTCAAGGACCATAACATTGTATTGATCGCATCTGCTAGAAAAATGACAGGATGAATAATGAGAACCTTCAAAACGAGGGATGCCAAGCCCATGATGACACTTTTCAGGTCACTTGTTCTATCTAGGCTGGAATATTGCTGCACACTAACAGCCCCTTTCAAGGCAGTGAAAATTGCTGACGTAGAAAATGTACAGAGAACTTTCACGGCGCGCATAACGGAGATAAAACACCTCAATTACTGGGAGCGCTTGAGGTTCCTGAACCTGTTTTCCCCTGGAAGCAGGCGGGAGAGTTTACATGATTATATACACCTGGAAAATCCTAGGGGGAAACTATTTACCGAACTTGCACACGAAAATCACTCATACGAAAGCAAAAGACTTGGCAGACGATGAACATGCCCCCAATAAAAAAGCAGGGGTGTCACTAGCACTTTTTAAGAGACCATACAAAAAGTGTCGGGGCCCGAGACTGTTAAAACTCCCTCCAGATACAAAAGGGGGGAATTACCAACAGCCCCATGGCAGTCTTCAAGCTGGCACTGGACAAGCACCTAAAGTCGGTTCCTGATCAGCCGGGCTGTGGCTCGTACGTTGGTTTGCGTGCAGCCAGCAGTAACAGCCTGGTTGATCAGGCTCTGATCCACCAGGAGGCCTAGTCACAGACCGGGCCGCGGGGGCGTTGACCCCCGGAACTCTCTCCAGGTAAACTCCAGGTACATAATTGGTCCAGGGACTGGACTCCAAAGTTTTGATGCATAAATGAGGAATTATACACACACCAGCAACACCTGGGTATCTTTATTTTAAGACGTTTCACAAATTAGTGACTTCTTCAGTTCAATCCAGAGATGATAAACGAAAACAGTAGATGAGGTAATCAGTCCCTCAATCTTGCAGAACCAAATAAAAACAAGGCATATTTCCCGAGCTGCTTTAAATAAAGTAATAGATGAATTCTCTAAGTGATAAAAAAAAAAGCTGTTACAAATAAAATGCATTTTGAAGAGGGAAATAAACTAATTTATTAACATTAGGGAGAAAAAATAACAAAAGCTTTAATGTTATTTCTTCGTGTTTTTCACGAGGAGGCCTCGTCACAGACCGGGCCGCGGGGGCGTTGACTCCCGAAACTCTCTCCAGGTAAACTCCAGGTAAACTATAGACAACAATGCACAGATAAACTTGATATTTCGGGAAATTAGGTTAATTTTGTCCCAGGATTCGACCCACACTCAGGTACCTATTTTACTGCTAGGTGAACATAGACAGCAGGTGTCTTAAAGAAACACGTCCTAATGATTCCACCCGTACTGGGATTACCCCGGATCTCAGTGTCCTAAAATATGGATTTTTTTTATATAGTATAAAGGAATGGAACATAATGATTTTTTGTATAATAATGAATATAGTCTCAAAAATACATCTAGCTATATTGTGGCCAGCAGTAACAACCTGGTTAATTAGCCCCTGATCCACCGTGAGGCCTGGCCACAGACCGGGCCACGGGGGCGTTGACCCCCGAAACCCTCTCCAGGTATACTCCAGGTATCCCAGATATTTTGCTGTACATATTTAAGTCAAGTAAATATAAAATCTGGAACCTGGATGCTTCACCTTAACAAAAGTAACACAGAACCTTTTTCGGGGACCATATTTCTTTGTGGGTAAACCCGTACGGCTCAAAAATCGCCTGGGAGGGATCAGAGGGGGAAGAGGGGGGGGGGGTGGAAGGCATTTAGAGGCGATCCAAGGAAATGAACGAGATTTTTGTTTCTTGGAACAAGATTCCCCCCCCCTCCTCCGTCCCTCCCTCCCTCCCTCTCTCTCTCTCTCTCTCTCTCTCTCTCTCTCTCTCTCTCTCTTTCTCTCATCACAGCCTCTCCCTTGAGGTAACTTTAAAACTAACAGTAATTCTAGTCATAGCTAAGCACTAAACTCACATAGGCTAATATTAAGGCTCCTTAATGGTGAAAAATCACATAGATTTCGTGTTATAATTCAGGTTGAATCTACAGGTTAAACCATTAATGATTGATTATCTACATGCTGCACTCACAACCATTGTATCTACCCTGAGAACCATTCTATATGTTCTGAGAACCATTGTATATTCCTTGAAAACGATTGTATATGCCCTGAGAACCATGGTATATGCCCTGGGAACCATTAGTATATGCCCTGGGAACCATTGTATATGCCCTGATAACCATTGTATATGCCCTGAGAGCAACTGTATATTCCCTGAGAACCATTGAATCTACACTGAGAACCATTGTATATGCCCTGAGAGCCATTGTACATTTCCTGAGTGTCATGTAGGGGGGTATCGGAATGAATAGGATATGAGTGGGAAATATGGGAGTAAGGGATTATGTAGGCAGGGGAGAGGCAGGCGAGGTGGTAGGAGTGAGATAATTAGCGGAGGTAGGTAGGTAATTACAGGTCAGTGGTGACCACCACGACACTCTCATTAACTCTACACTACTCACTAACATATGCCTCGCCCATTCTTCACTCATATAAACATAATAAAATATAAGAAAAAAGAATAAATAACGGGGGCAGTGAATATTATTATTCTACTCAAACACAGTTTATTATTAAGTCTTTGTACAATAAATATTTGGGAACAGAACATTATTGTGGTTTAGAAAAAATGGGGTGGTAACATAAGCAGTGAGACAGGGAACCAATCAACTTGACCAAAATGAATGTAACTTACAATATAGTTCAGAGGGCAGTTCATCACAGGAACTAGCCACAGGTCCCAAGACCTACACAGCACGAGTACTGTGCCAAGCAATACTCTGCCCACTGCCCCCCAACAGTCTCCTCCAGAGACTTCAGCAGCTTCTCCGAGCCCTGCACCCCAGCAGCAGCTCCGCCGAAGTCTCTGCTCAGAGCTCTGCACCCCAGCAGCAGCTCGCTCGAATCTCGCTCGGGAGCTCTGCACCCCAAGGCGGGCAGCTCCCGTCGAATCCCCCTTGCTCAGGAGCTCTGTACCCATCCAGCAGCTCCGCTCGAATTCCTGTTTCTTACGGACGAAGAAACGAAAGTTCAGGTAAGATCCCAAATGGGTGTAGCGGGAAGTCGGGACAGACGAAGAATAGTGCGGAGAGGAGTTTTCTTAGTTGTAGAAATAGAGCCAGGCTAACCCGCAGCTAAGTTATCGTGGGACAGAATTGAGAAACACATAGCAGGCTCTTCTGTTGCGACTCCGGTGGGTGGATGGGGAAGTGTGGACAGACGATGAACAGTCGTGAGAAGAAGGTCTTGAGTTGTAGATGAAAGAGCCAGGGCTAAACCCAGCTGCGTGGCACTGCGAGGCAGTGTAGAGAGGGCATGTTGAGGACATAGAGGAGAGAGCAGACTGCAGACAGTGCTCGCCGACTGATATGCTTCAGGCTGAGGTGAAGAGCTGGTTTGGACGTCAGGTGTTGGGAAGGGTGTTGTGTGTTTACCTGGAGACCTGGAGAGAGTTCCGGGGGTCAACGCCCCCGCGGCTACACTTCGCTGGTGATGGAGCCACTCTTGAGGCTTTTGAAGTCTCTCTTGGACATGTGGAATAGTTGCATTCTGAGGTTGGAGCAGTTCAGATTCGCCACGAGGTAAGATAGTGCGTTTTCAAAAGGAATTTGGTGAGGTTTGGTGCAGGTGTACTTAACAGCTGGAGTTTTGAGACTCTATGACCGCGGGTTCAATCCCGGCCGGGGGTATGGTTCAGCTGCGCTCATTTCGGTTGGGAGGTTGGGGGTGGTGTAAAAGGTTAGAGACCCATTAAAGGCTTGGCTTAGGTAACGGTTGCCTGTGGTTTCTTCTTCGACTACTACTTCGTCGTTGTCCGAGGGTTGTTCATAATGTTCTGGTACTATTTCGTCTTCTGTGACTGTGTTGAGAGGAGGCAGGGAGTGTTGGTCGGTCGTGATTTGTTGGGCTGGTGGTGGGTGGTGAGAAGTGGCAGTAGACGGTGGTGTTGGTTCTGGAGTAGTCTTGGTCAGAGATACGAGTAGGACCAGGGGTTGAGGTGAAGTTAACAATGTCTGGAATTAGCTTGAGGAGGTCTTGTGATGGTGGCGAGTCTGGAAAGTTGAAGAACCACTATAAACTGATACAACTTTTTGGGGAAATATTTGTAGAATTCCTGAATATATCTTACATGAGAGGTGTGTGTAGTGGGGGTTCAAACTGCCTTGTTGCCTGTTGTAGACCTATGCGTGGACTGAGGCCGATGTAGCGCGTCCCACGCACTCATGCGGGATCACGTGACGTCATACAAACTAGTCACTAGGCCTAGCAAAGGGGTAGTGTATGTAAAACATATGGATAGTACTATGATACTCAGATAAGCTATGCGACACATGTAGGTGATCAGCAACTATGCTGACATGTGCATATACATTGTGAAGTATATATTATATATATATATATATTATATATTTATATATATATATATATATATATTTATTATACATATTATATATATATATTATATATATATAATATATATATATTATATATATATATATATATAAATATTTTATATATATATATCATTGTACATACTACGAGTGGATACTTTAGCCTTTATTGTAGGGGTGAATAAATTCTTGACTGGTGGTATATACGTAGGTGATATAAGCTTTTGTAACCATCGTGTATTCGATAGGGTTAAAACCAATAAAGCAACTTTATATGTGGAACTAACAAAAATGGCCATCCAACAGTAAGCTGAGAGGAAAAGTGATAGTAAGTAACCCTGAGACTTTAGTGTGAAGGCTGTCAGTGTTGTGGTACGTTGTGCTCTCAGTGTTGTGGTACGTTGTGCTCTCAGTGTTGTGGTACGTTGTGTTATCAGTGTTGTGTTACGTTGTGCTCTCAGTGTTGTGGTACGTTGTGCTGTCAGTGTTGTGGTACGTCGTGCTCTCAGTGTTGTGGTACGTTGTGTTATCAGTGTTGTGGTACGTTGTGTTATCAGTGTTGTGTTACGTTGTGCTCTCAGTGTTGTGGTACGTTGTGCTCTCAGTGTTGTGGTATGTTGTGCTCTCAGTGTTGTGGTACGTTGTGTTATCAGTGTTGTGGTACGTTGTGTTATCAGTGTTGTGTTACGTTGTGTTATCAGTGTTGTGTTACGTTGTGTTATCAGTGTTGTGTTACATTGTGTTATCAGTGTTGTGGTACGTTGTGGTGTCAGTGTTGTGGTACGTTGTGTTATCAGTGTTGTGTTACGTTGTGCTCTCAGTGTTGTGGTACGTTGTGCTCTCAGTGTTGTGGTACGTTGTGTTATCAGTGTTGTGGTACGTTGTGTTGTCAGTGTTGTGGTACGTTGTGTTATCAGTGTTGTGGGGTACGTTGTGTTTCAGTGTTGTGGTACGTTGTGTTTCAGTGTTGTGTTACTGTGTTATCGTGTTGTGGTACTTTGTGCTGTCAGTGTTGTGGTACGTTGTGCTGTCAGTGTTGTGGTACGTTGTGTTGTCAATGTAGTGGTACGTTGTACTCTCAGTGTTGTGGTACGTTGTGTTGTTAGTGTAGTGGTACGTTGTGTTGTCAGTGTAGTAGTACGTTGTAGTTTTCAGTTTTGTGGTACGTTGTGTTGTCAGTGTTGTGGTACGTTGTGTTGTCAGTGTTGTGGAACGTTGTGTTGTGGTACGTTGTGTTGTCGGTGCTGTGGAACGTTGTGTTGTCAGTGTTGTGGTACGTTGTGTTGTCGGTGTTGTGGTACGTTGTGTTGTCAGTGTAGTGGTACTTTGTGTTGTCAGTGTTGTGGAACGTTGTGCTGTCGGTGTTGTGGTACGTTGTGTTTTCAGTGTTGTGGTACGTTGTGTTGTCAGCGTTGTGGAACGTTGTGTTGTCAGGGGTTGGGAACGTTGTGTTGTCAGTGTTGTGGTACGTTGTGTTTTCAGTGTTGTGGTACGTTGTGTTGTCAGCGTTGTGGAACGTTGTGTTGTCGGTGTTGTGGTACGTTGTGTTTTCAGTGTTGTGGTACGTTGTGTTGTCAGTGTTGTGGTACGTTGTGTTGTCAGTGTTGTGGAACGTTGTGCTGTCGGTGTTGTGGTACGTTTTGTTGTCAGTGTTGTGGTCGTTGTGTTTTCGTGTTGTGGTACGTTGTGTTGTCAGTGTTGTGGGAAAGTTGTGTTTTCAGTGTTGTGGTACGTTGTTGTTTGTCAGTGTTGTGGTACGTTGTGTTGTCAGTGTTGTGGTACGTTGTGTTGTCGTTTTTTTTTGTTGGACGTTGTGTTTCGTGTTGTGGAACGTTGTGTTTTCAGTGTTGTGGTAGTTGTGTTGTCAGTGTTGTGGAACGTTGTGTTTTCGTGTTTGGGTACGTTGTGTTGTCAGTGGTTTTGGAACGTTGTGTTTTCAGTGTTGTGGTACGTTGTGTTGTCAGTGTTGTGGTACGTTGTGTTGTCGGTGTTGTGGTACGTTGTGCTGTCAGTGTTGTGGTACGTTGTGTTGTCAGTGTTGTGATACGTTGTGCTGTCAGTGTTGTGGTACGTTGTGTTGTCAGTGTAGTAGTACGTCGTGCTGTCAGTGTAGTGGTACGTTGTGTTGTCAGTGTTGTAGTGCGTTGTGTTGTCTGTGTAGTGGTACGTTGTGCTGTCAGTGTTGTGGTACGTTGTGTTGTCAGTGTAGTAGTACGTTGTGTTGTCAGTGTAGTGGCACATTGTGCTGTCAGTGTTGTGGAACGTTGTGTTGCCAGTGTTATAGTACGTTGTGCTGTCAATGTTGTGGTACGTTGTGTTGTCAGTGTAGTGTTACATTGTGCTGTCAGTGTTGTGGTACGTTGTGCTGTCAGTGTAGTGGTACGTTGTGTTGTCAGTGTTATAGTACGTTGTGCTGTCAATGTTGTGGTACGTTGTGTTGTCAGTGTAGTGGCACATTGTGCTGTCAGTGTTGTGGAACGTTGTGTTGCCAGTGTAGTGGTACGTTGTGTTGTCAGTGTTATAGTACGTTGTGCTGTCAATGTTGTGGTACGTTGTGTTGTCAGTGTAGTGGTACATTGTGCTGTCAGTGTTGTGGTACGTTGTGTTGTCAGTGTTGTGGTACGTTGTGTTGTCGGTGTTGTGGTACGCTGTACTGTCAATGTAGTGTACGTTGTGTTGTAAGTGTAGTGGTACGTTGTGTTGTCAGTGTTGTGGTACGTTGTGTTGTCAGTGTTGTGGTACGTTGTGCTGTCAGTGTTGTGGTACATTGTGTTGTCAGTGTTGTGGTACGTTGTGTTGTCAGTGTAGTGGTACGTTGTGTTGTCAGTGTTGTGGTACGTTGTGTTGTCAGTGTTGTGGTACATTGTGCTGTCAGTGTTGTAGTGCGTTGTGTTGTCTTTGTAGTGGTACGTTGTGCTGTCAGTGTTGTGGTACGTTGTGTTGTCAGTGTAGTGGTACGTTGTATTTTCAGTTTTGTGGTACGTTGTGTTGTCAGTGTAGTGGTACATTGTGCACTCAGTGTTGTGATACATTGTGTTGTCAGTGTAGTGGTACATTGTGCTGTCAGTGTTGTGGTACGTTGTGCTGGCAGTGTTGTGGTACGTTGTGTTGTCAGTGTTATAGTACGTTGTGCTGTCAATGTTGTGATACGTTGTGTTGTCAGTGTAGTGGTACACTGTGCTGTCAGTGTTGTGGTACGTTGTGTTGTCAGTGTAGTGGTACGTTGTGTTGTCAGTGTTATAGTACGTTGTGCTGTCAATGTTGTGGTACGTTGTGTTGTCAGTGTAGTGGTACATTGTGTTGTCAGTGTAGTGGTACGTTGTGTTGTCAGTGTTATAGTACGTTGTGCTGTCAATGTTGTGGTACGTTGTGTTGGGCAGTGTGTGGTACATTGTGTTGTCAGTGTAGTGGTACATTGTGTTGTCAGTGTTATAGTACGTTGTGCTGTCAATGTTGTGGTGTTATCATCAGTGTTTTCAGATGGAGTCATGACCATTCCCATTTCCCAGGCGTTTCATGACTCTTTCGGGTTTAGTGCTACGACACGAACGTGATAAACAAGAACAAGAACAACAACAACTGCAACAACAACAATAATAATAATAATAATAATAATAATAATAATAATAATAATAATCTTCCCAGTTACCAGACTTGGTTCTATATTGATTCTTTCTATGTGAAGAATGAGTGAATATATTGTGAGCGAAGAAGTAATGGGTCAGACTGAACAAGTAATGGGTTGCTGGGTGACTGCAATGGGACTAAATAGTTAATTTCAGTTTACTAGTCAGATGCAGTATCCAATATCCACCCTGCCGTCCATAGCCAAGAAAAAAAAGTCTCCACACACATAAATGGGTCCACGAGCTGATCCTCATTATTTATTAAAGTGACACTGGTATTTTACTGGTGTTGAAAGTTACTGAATATTAATAATAACAACGAGTCCTTGAAATAATTCTGTCTTATACACAAATAATCAGTATGTGGGAGAATGCAACTGATGACGACGTTTCGGTCCGACTTGGACGTTTAACTACTCACACTAATGGTCCAAGTCGGACCGAAACGTCGTCATCAGTTTCATTCTCCTATGTGCAGGTAATTTGTGTATTGTTCCAGTTACGGTATTTTGACTTTTTATTCCTTAATTCTGTCATATAGTAGTTACCTTGTATTTACTATACACAAGATGTGTTTAATAGGAGTATATACGTTGTATATATCCTATATATATGTATATATCCTTGTATATATCCTTTCAGGATATATACAAGGAGAATTTAATTTTTATCTTAGGGATTGAAATATTCTTAAGTATTGGCGAGCAGGTGATACACAGCCTTAAACCATAGCACATTAGACGGACTTAAAAACTGGATATACCAATCATCCTCAGGTGCTATTCGAGTATAATCTGTCACAAAGTGGAAAAGAAAGAGGTTGGAATACGAAGGTATGTTGAAAGATATGTCGAAAGGTATGTTGACAGCGGTATATTCGACGTAACAGTGCGAGCTGATGTGCTGTGACATATTCCCTGGGAGACTGAGCTGACAGGAAATGGTGACCATCAGCCAGAATTGCAGGAAAGCTTCTAAAGATAAATTTCCACTTATCTCAGACATTTTCTGTGGCTTCTTAACCCTGAAATGTGGCTTATCGACTTGTTTCACTATTACTCTCTTAGTTTTCACTTATTTCCACTTTTCCCACTTACGCACCAACTCTCCCTTATACCCATCCTTCACATTTATACTTCTCTCCACTTCTACACAGCCTTGACTTGTGGTTTCAGCGCTGTTATGATTATAATAATATTACACAGCCTTGACACTTCTACCCTCAACGTCACTACCTGCCTTAGTATAGTGCTGAATAATCCACAAGGGATTAACGAATTTTTAAATGACAGTTGTAAATACAGTAATGATATTTATGGAATAATAATAGTAGTAGCAGTAGTAGTAAGTAATAATAATAATAGTAGGTTGGTAGACAGCAACCACCCAGGGAAGTACTACCGTCCTGCCAGATGACTGTGAAACAGAAACCTGTAACTGTTTTGCATGATGGTAGGATTGCTGGTTTCTTTTTCTGTCTCATAAACACGCTAGATAACAGGGATATCTTGCTACTCCTACTTACACTTTGGTCACACTTCACAGACACGCACATGCATATAATACATACATACATACAAGACACTAACAATATTCCAGTAATTAATTTTTACAGTGGGCTAGAAGAAAATTTATGTAACATCACAGTCACTAGTGAATGGTTGTGAAGCAGATAGACAGACTGAAGCAAAATAAGTCGCCGGGTCCTGATGAGGTTTTTTCAAGGGTTCTTAAGGAATGCAAAATGGAACTCTGTGAACCATTAACTAATATTTTTAATTTATCTCTTCAAACAGGTGTAGTGTCTGATATGTGGAAGATGGCTAATGTAACTCCTATTTTTTAAAAAAGGGGACAAGTCGTTTACCCTCAAATTACCGCCCAATAAGCCTGACCTCAATTGTAGGGAAATTGCTAGAGTAAAATTTTAGCTGAATTAAGAAGCCATCTCGATAAGCATAGCTTTGATTAAAGATACTCAGCATGGATTCACAAGAGGCCGGTCCCTTTTCTAATTTAAATTATTAACTTTCTTCAGTAAACTTTTGAGGGTGTTTACCACAAAAAAAATTTGATATTAAATTTTCTTAGATTTTAGTAAGGCTTTTGATAGAGAGTTCCGCACCATAGACTGTTAAAGAAAGTGGCAAACTCATGGCATTGGGGAAAAGTGCTCTCGTGGATCGAGTCATGGCTCACTGACAGGAAGCAGAGAGTGTCCATAAA